CTCAATCTAACCAACGAGAATTAACATGTAATCAAAATCTTGTTTCTTTCGAATTTAAATTTTGATATGAGACAAAACAGAACTGCTATATCTAGCAGTGCCTATTTATTTTGCCAAGTAGAGACTTCATAGCTCTACCTTAGTCCCAACTAGATTAACCATTTTCAAACTTTTGGTAAAATTCACACATATAAGTATCACTTTTACATTTTTCATTTTTTTCTTGAGTGTTCATTTGTTGACATAAATCGTTCACGATTATTTCAAAATTTGTTTACTAATTTATTTCCATAATCTACTCTCAATGAGACCTTTAAATTTAATTGAATGGTAAGATGATTTTTAAAGTCTGATTTGCACTAGTCCGTTATTGTTGATCTATCAAACTATATACTAAAACAATCACAATGCATATGCAATTTATTTCATAACATGAAAAAAAAATCATATTTTTGCTCTCATACCATTTCTTAGAAGCAATGCAAACCAAAGCCTTCTAAAGCATATCAATTTTAATAAGCTATGCAAAAATAATACGCATCCAAAAGATATCAATTGTTATAAGATTTGCTATAAGAATGTGCATCTAAAGTCAACTGAATCAACAATACACGCACAAGTAGACACAGAAATACATGAATCATCATTGAGGTCTACATTCATGACAATATTTTAGATTTTACATATAGAATAATCTTAAAAGTTTACTTATAGCTTTCATGAGCTTTCTTTCAAATTGATAGACTAACTAGCTCAACTTATTAAGTCTAAGTTAAAGTTAAATCAGAATCTAGATTAACTCTTAGCACTATTTGTTAAAAAAAAATTACAAAATATTTAAAATTATTTTGTGAAAATGTAGGTTAATTTATGATAATATAATCACATTTATTCAAATAATATTTTTTCTTGCTATTAAATATATACATACATACATACATATATTAGATTCTAATTCATATAAGGTACTTGAAGTATAGTTTGAAATTTATATTATGTAGTCTTCAACATAAATATAATATATGCCATCAATTCTTAAGTACTCAAATTAATTGTTAAAAGTAATTCTTATTCAGATTATTGATTTATTTATTTATATATATTAAATCTATTTTATTTATATATTATTTGATCTGAATGGAATCAAATTGATAAAAGAAAAGAAGAATTATATGAATAACAGGCAAATACAATTACTTACTATTAAAATATAGTACATGTATTACATATGTAATGTACATAAATAGATAAATAAAAATATATATTATATAAAAAAATTCAAGTTATCTAGACTGAAGAAATAAAACATATAATATATATTATGAAAAAAATTAATTCTGTTTCAATTCTTCTATTGATTATTTTATTTTCATGCTATCAGTTATTATAGTCATTTTATATTACGTCTATTGTAAAAAAACAAATTCACAAAGGAGTGAAAGAAAATTTTAATAAGTATGTGTTAATTTTCTTACATCAATAAATTAAGACAATTTTGTAAACACAGATCACTACCATTTAATTTGACGGAGCCAGATCTGTAGTTAATTCCATATATGTCTTTTCCTGAACACTAATTTTACCCTTTATCATGTCCACCAACAAGCATGTAGCTCCAATGACGAACTAGTGATGTAGCACTTCTGGACTTTACAATATGAGCAATGTTGTACATCACACATAGTTTACCTAGATGGGGAACAAATATAATTTGATATTCTAAGACCGTTTGTTTGTAGACAGAGGAGATGATTGAGATCCGTTATTAGAGTTAACCGTAGCAGAAAAGGATGTGTTTTCTTTCGCTTCCCTGAAGCTACAAATACAAAGAAGGCTGAGGTTAAGGCCGTTTGGGATTCTAAATATCTGCTTCGATATTTGAAGTACATTCATACATCACATGCAAATGAAATGCACATGTTGTGAGTACCTTAGGCTTCAAACTTCAAATGATTAGGAAGTCACATTGTCTGCTTAGTTTTGTGTGTGATTGTCTTCCATCACGTAAATGCCCAATTTCCATTTTGTACTCGATCTTTAGGTAAGTTTGCAATTTTGATTATCATACCGATCTGTTCATTATTTGCACCATTCCCAAGTCTTAATATTTATTGATGTTTGAAATGAAAAAAAAAACAAAAACCTTTTGTATTTATTTATTTTTTACAGGAAATCTACAGGAATCTTAGCATTGTACATTACACATATTTTACATCATGCATTGTCATGTTCAAAGGAGTGGCTAGTTATCATTCAGCTACCAAATTAATCCTCACTTTAGTATACGTTCTTATCTGATTGGTCTAACACCCTATAGTTACTATTGCATCCCTACTTTCCATAAAAGAATTGCGTATATTAGAGTGAAGGATAACTAACCTTAAGTGAGAGATAACTGTCCATTTCTTTGATCAATTTAGCAACTTTTATCTTAAACGATACGGTCGTGTAATAATGAGGGACGAATTTTTTTTCTTCTGCATGATATTGCTTGCATATCTGCTTAAAAATTTGTAGGTTGTGTTGGCACTAGTTTGGATAAATTTGTTTCTTGTCTATGATATTTCGTATTCCTAAATATACTCTCTCTACATAGTTCTACAGATTATTTTGATAAAATCTAATACATATGAAATCAAACAGTATTAAATTTTTTTCCCAATTTTCATAATGAATCATAGCATGTTCATGTTGTTTACAGATTCTTTGGTTCTACTAATTCGCATTCTCTCAATTATGTATGCTGTATTTTACAAATAGTTTCCAGAAAATTGTAATCTTATTATGATGAAACATAACATATTCAGTTCATTCAAAGATCTTCTAACTTGATAGTAAATCAAAACCTGAAATCTTTATAAAAAAGTCTACGATATATTTTGTACTATGATTATATTTGAGTAAGATGTTTGATGTTTTTATATCTGGTCTTACCATACTATTTATTGATTGGAATGATTCTGTTTTTGGAGCCGTTGAGTCTTCTTGGAGCCTCGTAAAGCTTTCTTCCGTGATGATTGGTTTACGAATGCTGAACCCTAAATAGATGTTTGTACTAAAATCCTCGATAATGTTGACTAGAAACAGTGGGGGCTTGTTGAAAGGTCTATAGAACATGAAGGCTCATGATTAAAACATAAGTTACGAATGTGAAGAAAGGAACGGTGCGTGAACACGTCTTCTAATTATGAAAAACGCTCCCCAAGGCTTCACTGAAAGGAGAATCCCTCTCTACAGACATGCGAGAAAATAACAATCTTTCAGTCGCATCTCTAAGTTCATTAAATTCCTAGATCGGACAGTCTGTACCCTTCGGAGAAATGGAAACCTTTTCAAGTTGGTTAGTTTCCATGCCCAACCTAATTCGTGTTACCAGTGCGAACCTCTGCTCGTATCTCAAGAAGAGGTTCATCGCGTTGTGGAGATGTGTGCATTGGGGATGATTAATCTCAAATGAGCACCGACGTTTACGATTAATCGCGCCGTAATTAGAAAATGTCGAATGGTTCCTGCGTGCATTTTGAACCCATTTAACTGACGAATGATTCCTGTCTAGCGCAGTTTAGAGGCATCAGCGTCGAGTCATCGCCAACCCTTTGGCCTTTCATCACGGAACGAACGGAGGAAATATATATATGTACTTGTGGAGACAAAACTCTGGGACATTGTGTACTGTACGTCTTCCAATCTAGAGATAGCACAGGTGGCAAGGACAGCTTGTTCCGTATGGTGCAGAATCTTGTCAGAGGAAGACAATCTCTCATGCAAATGTACAACTTTGTGAATGGTAGAGGCGGGGTCGCCATCGAGCCATCCATCAATCCATCCATGTATGGGAGGGGACCTCCGTTATGCAAGAGAACGTCAAGGAGAGTACAGCATATGCTTGGGGCCTTGGAGTCTGCTCTTAACAGTTTAGTTCCTGCTGAAGCTTGGCTTCTTTGCAGTCCATTTTTTTCTTCATGTGAATCATTTGCTTCAAGTTTGGATTTGGCAATTTTGCTGTGTACCTGACCATACCCCAATATCGATTTTTCATTCATCAAGCTCCCCGTCCGAGCCGCCGACGCAACGCCTGAAGCTCACTCAAATTCTTGGGCGGATGTCACCTTGCTTGCTCATGAAAATCAGCATACCGTCAGCTCCGGAGGCTAGAAATATATTTCACGTAGGGAGATGTGTTTCAGGTGTCCTTCTTGCACGTAAGAAAATGGAATTCGAAGTACCGAGCTGAGCATGAAATTCCAAGCTCAAGATGGAAGTAAACCATCAACTGCTGCAAGCCGGTGCGCATCGTACCACACAATCTATGCAAACTGAAGCCGAAACGCTGTAACACCATCACCAGATTCACCACGCCACCCCAGGACGCCAACAGCTTGTGTACTCCATTGCATGGTTGCCAGGGCCAGGGACGGACCTCTGCTGTGGTTCGTTAGAGGATGATGATGATCATGTACTGGAGGAGGTTATGGTGCACATGCACTGCACTGCACTCACAGTCTGGCAGTTTCCTGGTCTTTTATTAGATCTGCCGCATTCTTATTCACGTTGAGAACTGTGATCTGGAACGGAACTCTGCAGTTGGCACACCCAAAACGGAGCAAACGAACTAGTGAGAGATGAAAATTTGGAGGACAAGAATATTAAAATAAAAAGAATTATCACAATGCAGCAATGAAGGCCTAAAGATATGAGCCATGAAGCAAAAGGATGGCATGGAGACAGGAAGGATGACTATGGCGAAATCTGGAGAATTCCGGAGCGAGCGAGCCAGAGAAGATGGCCACAGTTGCGTGGTGGTCACGCTCATGAATGGAGTCTTGCAGCCCAGTCTCATATCCGCCTGTGGAACTCGACATGCCAAGAGGCCTGCAGTCAGTCTTCCGTCAGCCCAGGCGAGATTGGCGTATGCGGAATGAATACGGTATGGCCCATAACCGAAGACAATGGAGACGAAGGACAAAGCGATCATTCCGGATGCTCTGGTGTTGTGTCGTGGTTTACTTTAGTTTACTGCGGAACTCTGTCCGCTCCTCTACCTCTACGGCTCGAGAACAATGTACTGGTACACGCAATTATCTGCGAAGAAAGAAGCAGCCCACCATCCCACCACCGCCCGTCGCCTCTACAAGAGTAAAAAATTTCCCGAGAGTTGAAACCATAAAGCACTCAAAAAGGGAAGGACCCAGAAAAAAAGAAAATCAAAAGAACTACACTGCATAACAGCTCCCTGGCCCTCTCTGTCGCTTTATCTCTCTCTCTTTCTCTCTCCCCCATCTTTCTCTCTGTTTCTGGGTCTGCCCTCTGTTGCCCTTGTGACATCTTCGGCATTTCTAGTTCGGGAGACTGCGTGAGACTGAGCAGAGGGAGAATCGAGCGATTGAGTGGTAAGTGAAGAGAGAGGGGAGAGGGGAATTTTTTTGAGACAATTCGATAGGTTATGTTCCTCGGTAGGGAGGGAAGGACGGAGAGATTCAGAGGGAATTGTGGACAGTGTTTGGGAAGGAGAGGCCCGGTGCAGTGAATTATCATCCACGTCGATTGCTCACTGTATGGTCGATTGTCAGTAAGTGCAGCAGAGCGGGTTTGGCATCGAGGGTGATCTGTTTGATTGCTTGCTTTCTTTCTTGAGGAGGCCCTGGAATTCGTGAGGGATCATCTTTTGCGCCGGGTTTTATCAAATTGTTGAACTTACGGGACGTGGGTGAGTGCCTCTACTGTGTTTTAACTTGGAATATACTGTCTGTCGATTGACTCGCTGACATCCAGCCGACAATTTCTCATCCTGGAGCGAAATTGTTCGTCTGTCGAGATGCCATCCAAAATTTGCTGCTCTCGAAGTGAGATTTTCGCCACAGTTTATAAATCGAAAGAACCACCTATTCCGAAATTCCCATTCAAAGTCTAGAATCGCTATATGCTGTCACTGCTCGCTTCTCAAAACTCGGAAACTAGGATATGAATGTCGTTTGATTTTATGTGCTGCCGAGTTGTAATACATCGGATGAACCTACGATAGAAAATACGACGATAGTCTTGTCACTACTAGTCAACAGGGCATTCTCATCGACTTATGTTTGTTGTGGTTGTTTTTTAGAGCAACGCCTGAGAGGCTTCAGTGTGAGTCAACAATGGCCTCATAACCTGTGATTCTTCACAGTCCACATTCGCATGATGTCTTCTGTCTCCTTTGACAACCTCTTGTCCTTGACTTTCTCTGTGGCTGTGTTCGATTCCTTCAAGCATCGGCCAAAGTTTCACTTGTCACTTGTCGATGTTTTTGGATCTCAATTGAGTCATCTTGCTTCCCTCTCATGGTGAACCCAATTGCTGCGCTTCTTTATGCAAGAGTGAAGTTTTGTAATGAAGGCCCGCTTACGATATATCACACACCCTCATGGTACTTCATGGCTTCCCTTGTTCTAATTTCCTGATTTTTGAGTTACAGAACGATGTTGTTTCTTTGTTTCCGCCAAAAGGAAGAACATGGTAAGGCTTGACCGTTTGAAGATTGCTGTGCCTTTTGAGCCCGATGGAGTAACTTGGAGTGGAGTTCGTGCAAGAGGTTCATTATACATGATTTTTAAGAATGGTTCAAAAGGCAATTGTTGGAGACAATTGTCAACTTGTAACCAGTCTGCAACTACTTACTGGAATGCAAGTCCGTCATCTTGTTCACAAAGTTTAATGCAATGTTGTTGACTGCTCATTTCTGGCCTCGTTACGAGTTACCCTGGCGTTGGCTTTGTATTAAACCGTACATCATTGTCTTGAGGGGTAGGAGTATGAGAAGAAGTAGAATTCCGCACCCTGCAAATCATGAAGTAGAAGAGAAGAGCCTAAATTATCAAAACGGGGTTACACTCTCTCCTCTTGTCTCCCTCATAATCCAGAAAGCTCGCTCTTGACCCACTCATCTTGATTAGTGGGCTAGTGACCTTTCTCAAAGGACGCACTCACAATTCTCTCTACTAGAGAGCAGTAGCGTGGCTCTCAGAGAATTCTGTAGGGAGAGTTACGATCGGATCCGAACGGAACACAGATTGAACGTACAAGACCTCCCATATATTGTGTTTTGTTAAACAAGCTGGGAGTAGCCTTGGACCTTTTTCCCAGCCAGAACCGCATAGAATGTAAGGGTAGAGCGTCGTAACTGTAACTCGAAAACTGTTGTGCACCTCAATTCTCTCATCACTGTAAATCTACCATGAAAGATTATCCCTTAAGTATCAATGTGTCATCCAAGAAAACTGAATAATAACATACATCGATGGCGGTCCAAGTCCTTATTGCTATAACATAATCACCCTTTAATCGCTTTTGACGGTGGAACGTTCGTTATAGATTTAATTGCCTCAGGGATGCAATTGATCACATCAGCTGAAGATTTGTTTTGTTAAAGGTACTCTTAATTTAAGTGAACGTCCCAAAATTCATACCGCAGATTCTTGTCAACATCCTCACAAGTCCGTATCACCACAAGATCCATTGTACCCAACAAGTCTCTCACTGTCCACTTCCCTGCTGCGTTTGGTAGTTTTTGTCGAAGAGTTTTCTTACCTGCAATTGTTATAAGTCAAAGAGTAGATTTTCAGACGAGGTTAGCACATCCAATTCTAGCTTCAATGCAGATAGATTTTTCTCCGCGTCCACACTGTCATGGGCATATTTAATCTTCCCCCAGGATAAGTAGGATACTTTTCTCGATGGTTAACCTTAACTTAAACAGGCGGGGAGTTGTCAACACAGTGAATAGCTTTACAACTTGTTACTTCTTTTGTTCCTGCCACATTCTTCTCATGTTCTATATCTGCACAATCTGTTTTTGGCTTTGCCTTTTTGCCTTCGTGCAAAATCAGTACTTCGCTTTTCTATGTAAGAAGCTTGATTTTCTATTTTATTGTTACTCTCTCCTTGTCATACATTATCTGAAATTGGTCTGAGCATGCAGCCCCAAGGTTGACTACACTCTGGCATTCGCTGGGCTCTGCCATTTATCCATTTGTTGCGAAATAAGACTGTGATCTTATTTTTTGTAGAAACGAATTTGTAAGCTCTGTTCTTTAGACAAGTCTAGAGGAGAGCAGCGATGTTCATATGGATGAGAAGCTCGTTGGCTTCAAGAGAGATAACATTCCTTGTTGGCTGTCCTTTTGATAGGGATGAGCGCTTGTTACTCATACAAGATTCTCGGCATGTTTTGAGTAAAGCAGAACAACTGAACAGTCTAATTATGCTAGGTGATGAACGCTAAGACCAGTCAGTGCTTCACCAACTTGCCAGGCCAATTATGCTGTCAATGGAGCCTGGAGTTTGCAGAATGTAGCTAGAAGTCCAGATCTTCTTAATCCACTTTGATATCGTGATCCTTGTGTTCAAGGATATGACTTGCATTTAAGTTTAGCTATGCATATTCCTTCCTGGGCGGTGGGTGAATATAGACTCTTGCTGACACTTACCAAAATATCTTATAAAAAAGTGTTGCTTTTGCTCATAGAAGCGTGGATTCCACTCCATACCGCGTTCCGAGAGGTCGTCTGTCCTTTCAGTCTCCATGTTGAGAGTTGTTTACTTTTGCAGGCCCATATATTTGAGGTGCATCATGCATATGTACGGACGTGACCATCTAATGCAAACTAAAAGGATCAAACGAAGAGTCTTTCAAGTCATGATATGTAGACGATCGTAATGTTTACGATCGCGCCTCCGACACTGAGATGAGCCTAGGCGTGACCGTGATGGCAGCAACATACAGACAACCTTTGCCCAACGACTGTTCTGGAATGTCCTTAAATACGTGTAGGAAACTAAAGCTCTTCAGCGTTGGAGATAACGGGTATGCGCTATCTAAAAATTCCATGCACGACTATTCTAACAGGAGCGCAGAGCAACACGATTTGCGAATCAATCTCATTACAGACTAACCTCGTTATCTAGAGATTTATAAATTTCCCGGAATCCATGCACGAGGACGTTGTGAATTGACCACCTCATTTGATAGATTTTTAATGCACGCGAACTCATAAGCTGAAGGAAATTACGGGCACTTCTTAGTGTCGTTCTTGGTCTTTTGTGGAGTAGTAAGTATAGGCCGTAACGTCTACTGTCCTTTTCAACTGTTTTGTCTATCTCTGGCTCACACATCATGTGGATGCTATACCGTTTGAAGTATGAACGCTGTAACTTCCATGCTTGACACTGAAACATGTGTCCTCTATATGGGTGGACCATACTTTGATTTCGTGTACCATGTTCTTCTGTCTGATACGTCTGATAGTTCTTAAGATACAACGTAGCCGTCCAAGTGGATCACGATTTGTTTCATGTGAAGCGTATATGCTAGGTAAAAGCTCCAGCGGTAACCTTACCAGCAGCCATATTGATTGATTTTTTTACTTGAACTAATGTTTTTGAATGTCCAGTCCAAGTAAACGAAACAAGTGATTCACCGTTTGAAAGTATTTTCGAATGAAATATTGAATTGATACATTTGCTTGCCATTGAAACTATTTGTATTTGTTTTCTTTCGGTCTTCCTGTTACTTCTGTCGAGCCTGGTACTTAATGACGTAGTAAATACTTGCCTATTTACGAGTCATCAAGTCATATATCACTTAAGCTGTAATTGAGCTTCAATAGCGGGTTGTCAACGACAGTGCATTTTTTACCGTGGTTTGGCTGAGACTTGAAGTGGCAATAGTAGTTAGGGTCGGAGAAATTTTCCGATACTAGATACCGTGCTCATTGTAAAGATTCTTTAATTTTTCTGCCGAAAAACAGTTTCGATTCTATCTATTTTTGCAGATTATTTACTTCCATCTCTTCCACCATTGATGCAGTCAATCTCAGAAACAATGTAATATTCGAGTCACACTTTCCTCAGACCAGACTTTGCCCGTTGCTATGCTCAGGTTCTGCGGGTACTATGGAGCCAATCCCTATCTCTATCACCGACAACAGTCGACATGAAATCAGCATGGATGGCATAGCTTCTCTTCTTGCTATGGCACGTCAGCGAATAAATGAAGGGAACCCGTCCCTAGCTTTGCAAGCTGTAAGTTGACTGTTTGCATAATCATTTTATTATTATTTCTGCCTTCATGCTGTCACGGGTGCGATTGTATAAGTATGTTTGTGTTCAAATTTTTTTTGTTGTGCCTGAAATGCGATTTGTACAGAAGAGGGTTAAACATAAAACCATCTGTTTCATTTCGTCTCCAGTTTTACTGTTGCTGTCTTCGTTTATGAACTATTTCGGGCCAGTTCCCTGACGGAGAATTTCAATGTATTGCTTGATCCAGCAACGAGGTACAACACCTTGTTGCTCCATCTCGTTCAGAGGAGAGGAAAGCAACTAAAGAAGCGCATGCACTGTAGCTCCAAGTACTTATATCACTTACAGCTTGGGAATGTAGCATGGTGTTGTATGCGTGCTGTTAGGAAGTTGAAACCTCCTCTATTCATTCTCAACACTTACAGTCTAGTGTGACATTGGCCCGATGGACCTGTAATGTGAAAACTTTCTTATGGACGGTAATTGACTCTGCCATTTAATTATCGAGAGCTGTCTTCCTTTCAAATCACGCCATCCTGAGAAGGGGTGCACATCGTTAGTGTTGATATGGTGAGGGGAATTGTCTTGACTCGAGTTCATGAGTGCTCTTGAAGAGCTAGAGCTCTCATGGTGTCCCCCATGGTAATTCACCCTCATAGAAAGATGCAGTATATTTTGCGCACTCAACCCCCGTATGTGTTTTACTCTCATGGTGTATTGTATTTATACCGGCAGGATGACCGAGCTGTTGACACACTACTCAGCAGATCACTGACAAGTTTCAAGGCCACTGATCAGTGGAGAATTTATTGGCTCGCAGGTGGTCATCGCTCTCAGAGCCTCCGGGGGTGAGCGAGCAGTGCTGCAGGCCTTCAGCAGTGCTCGAGAAATATATCGCACCGAAAGGGTGGCAATCGATCCCGTGGACGAACTGTCTGCACTGTTTGCTGATTGTGGCATCACGGATATACACTCCATCAACTTTAGTTCAAATGGAGGACCGCATACAGCCACTCCTGTACCTTCAATGCAAGACCTCGACATGATGGAAGGGAACACATCTAGAATCCCGATATCGGCTCCCATTCTTGCAGAAAGTGGACGGCTTCAAGTGGTTATGGATGCATCCGCCGATGGCAGCAGCTTCGTGTGTCTCCAATGTGGTGGCGTAGTGAGTAATCTGCGCAGAGATGAGCACCTCCAGTTTTGGTGTTCACAGGCTTCATAATGTCAACTCATGAGACGCCGAAATGCTTGGCTTTTATCTTCACTTTGTAATTTTGTAAGTAGTGAGTGCATGAGTGTTTATCATCGTGGAGAATCGACGTCCTGGTAAACATAATGAAAGAGGATGAAAAATTTTGTAGCTTGGTCCGAGATCAGTTGTTGCCTTCTGGTATGCCTTACACCTCTTTTCTCTCTAGTGTCTTCTGCCGGGACCTTCTGATATGAGACCAGTAGTTAACCCCAATTTTGAATTTATCAGAGGATGTGGAGTTCAGGTAACTGATACGGCACTTTGAGCCCCTCCTTGTGAACATTATCATATGTATAGAAACATGGAACGACCAAATCAGTTTAACATAAAACTGGACGATTGTGGTACTGAAAAGCTGCAGTGGAGTCTCACATATCACTCTTATACATATGACATGAAACTCTCCAATCTAATTCAATCCTCAGAACTTCACGATCATTGAATGCTTGGCTACCAGCAAGAGCATTAGAATCAGTCATGAGAACGGCTCGGTTGTTTTATGAGTCGCCCACCATCAGGAAGAAATAGTGGTCCATCCTCCCTTCATTAGCAACACTGGATTCGTTCCAGCTGCTAAATTCGCAGTCTCGTCGATTCGAGCTCGGCTTTATTCTCAACACCATGGAATCGGATGCATCCACTGGGCAACGCAGATAACTCTCAAAGTCAAGCAGATGTTTCACCCCCGCGAGAGCTAGAATCTCGCGTCCTAAGGCATCGATTCTTCTCCCGGAATTTCTCCTGGTACACATCTAAGGCTATTCGAGCCTTCTGACCGACCGGGTCAGATGCCAGCCCTCTCCAACCGAATCGTGCTACGACTCTCGTACACGTACCGTGCAGTAAATCGGCGGGTTACGGAGCATGAGACTCAACGCCCGCACACTTTACGACGAAGGGCGCTGGCATGTTACTTCCAGCAGCGCCATGCAGGACTGCGGGCAGACTCCGAGGCTGCAAACTTTGGAATAGCTGCTGCTGCTGCTGCCCAAGACCTGGGCCTGTGCTGACGGTGACTGTTCCAGCACATGCACACCAGAGCCTGAGAGCCGGAACGAACATATGCAGCGACAGATCGGGCATGGCCGCCCATCCGTGGTCGAATCGAAGTCGCTCTACGAGAGTGATGTGGAATGTGGTCCTACGAATCCACCGGATCAAATCGCGATACTCTTTTTTGTACTATCTTCGCAGAGGACGGTCCTGCCTGCATTGTCGTAGTGTTTTGCTGGAAAGGTCCGTCCCATAAAAGACTTGCACTTTAGGACGAGTACCAAATGTTTCATCCTCGACAAATTCAGTTCCTCGCTTGATCTGTTTTGCTTTCTCTTTTCCGAACGAAGCCCTGCTTCACGTCCCCCTCGGTACAATTCATGCATACTCCCTGAATGAAACCAAACGTGCTCTTTTCTCTGATACCGACACAATCTTTCCGAGAGCGCGATCAGGTACACTTCATTCTTCGAACGTGATTGAAGATTACCGATCTTCGCGCACGAGACGGTGTGATCGCATCCATAGCTACTCAGCATTATGAGCAGAAGATGTGTACATGATTCATCTTTTTCGGACATTCGCATCATCTGTTCTCCGGGTCAATATGGGACAAGATAGTGGACGACGACGACGGAGCGAACTCGATGTTTAAGTCCGCTAGTGCTGCTAGCCCGGTAAGGAGCTGACGGGAATTTGAGGAGAATGTTCGCCATCTTAGTTCTGGCACCTGATTCTTCTCAAGTTCAAGTGTCATCCTATCAAAAAAATAAGTGAATCACGTGTCAGATAGAACACGTCTGATATCTGCACGTATGTCAATATCACCACTTGCACATTCCAAATGTGACTTTCATATCAATTTTGCATTTTGTTTGATTCGCATTATATTTCATGGTGCTATGAGAAGAGTGACACCATAGCTGTACAATGTGAATGATAATGACATAAGATATCTGATCATCTAAGCACTCCTACATGCAAGTTCGCAAATCATCTAATCTCCTACATCACATGAGTTGGAGCTAATTAGTAATAAAAATTCATATCTGAAATCTCCTCTGAATCTGATTATTAGAAATTTATGAAATTATATTTATAAATCCGAATATATATATATATATATATGAAAATATTTAATCCATATAGTTGGATTAAATAATTTGGAATAACCAATATGAATTTTCAAAATCAAAATGTTCTTGTGCATATTTTCCCATTCATTAAAAAATGAATGAAAGCTCCGGTTCTTTCAAGTATAACTCTAGAGTTCGGACGAGTAGTCACCCAACTATTCGTCCGATATCATGATGTTCACTTGAAAGTTATTCCTGAACTCCAAGGCCACTATTTCTTCTCTTCAACGCCAGATCTGTTCACCAGGAGATTCCAAAAGGAAAAATACACGTTCTGTAGGTGCAGTTTAGGGTTCGAAAGTGCATACGGAAGTCACCCGCAACTATCAAATGCCCAAGTCTAGAGCGCAGTCCACAAGCTAGTGTGGTCTAGCCAACCCGGTCAGCATTCCGGTGGGAGGACGACGACGACCAGTCGTCCTCGTGATGAAACAGGCATGGTACCGGCGTCCCTTGCGAGCGAGCGACCGTAGGTTCCGATAAATGGTCCCAGAGAACTCGGACCCACATACGGTACCCACGAAGGAAACGACACTGCGACTCACTACTGCAGTCCTCCCCATCGTTAACGCCGACGATGTACGCAGCGTAGACGCCAAAAGAGGAACTGGGCTCTACTGTACCAAAAGGCGCACCCCGTTGGTTCTGAACTTTTGTCATGGTTTCCATGAGTCAAGAACTTCCGTCCTCGCAGTCCAAACATAGAAACAAACAAACAATGCCGCAGTCTCCCGGTTGACCGCGTACCATGTCGTTTCCTCCGTTGGCTCGACCACAGTCGTTCACGCCTCCAGCGTGATCGTCCTTTTCTTTTGTTCGGTTCTGCCCCAGGCATTGCTTGGGACGATGAACGATGGACGCTGGACATGCAGCGAGGCCATAGGCCGGTCCCGATTTAATGAAGGGCAAAATGTTGGCGTAGATGGGAGCTATGATACGATCAAACGAGCAAATCTTCTCGATTCTAGGTAGCTATAAATGAGATCATGTCTCATCGTCTCGCACATTATCTTGGAAAGCAGCGCTCTCCTTTTGGAGACTATGTCGGAACTCCGAGGCGAGCAAGCAAGGGACGGGGGTGTCGCTTGGCCGACCACGGAGGCCTAAAGTTGGGAGGAAGGGAATGTTGCACCGAATCGCACTATTTTAAGGCTGCGGTACGAGGTTGACGTCGTCGAAAGCTCGGGGAATAAAACACCATCGCGTCCGAAAGGGTGGAGCCCCGAAACGATTTCTCGTGGCACCTTTTTTGCGGCCTGGAGGGCGTCACCGAGCTCATATATATGTATATCCTCGGCCCTGGGATTGTGGCGGTTAGTCATGCTAGCGGAAGAGGCGTACCCATGGAACACGAGTGCATGCGGCCATCAGTCACATTGCTATTACGATCGTTTGTACGCTGTTTCGTCTGCTAGCGAGATATGGAAACTTGAGAAAATAAAATCTCGAAAAGTGAACATCGCAGTCGAGAGAGAATACTTGGCATTTGCTTCTTCTATGTGTCGAGTGCACTGATGGCGTCTTCGAGACCGTTGGTTAGGGAGTAGAGAAGAGAATTGGGTGTGCATGAGACAGAGAACTGAACTTCATAGATGCTGAACAAGCTTCAGTACATCACGTAAGCAATGTAGTGATGTTGTAGTGTAGTGTGTGTGTGGGGAAGGAGTTGAAGTTTAGATGCTTCGGAGTGCGAACGGATAGGAGGAGACTTGATTCATATTGTAATGTTATGGGCAAGAACGAATTGAAGGTACATCCTAGTGGTCCCTTGTGTGTTCTTATTCGCTTTCTTTTAGTCGATCATTCTCTTATATTCCATGTCATGATTATTGCCTTCCAATTGACAAGTGCACTCTATGGTCTAGTGCTGCAAATATAGATAAAGTGCCATGCTAGATACCATACAGTACTTTCACCATGGCACCTGTCATATAAAATGCATTTGCACTATAGTCATTCCTCCAGGTTCATGGATGGTTTGGAGTGATATGAGATAGTCATTTAAAAAATAAAGTGAAGGTCAAAAATTATTCTGAATAGCTTTACTCGTTTTTAATCAATCGGAAGCTCTTTCTTCGATCATGAACGATTTTATTTCCACATTTAGACGTTATCTAAAAACTCACGTACGAAAGCGTTGATAGATTAGAGATAAGTAAAGGCTCAATTCGCATGTTTGAATAAAATTTTGCAATATAGTTATTGTGAACAAACTGTTGGAGGCGCTTTGGAAGAGCCTGGAGGAAGTCTTTCATTAACATGATAGATATGCAATTCTTACTCGTTTTCAGCAGGAAATCAATATCTAGAAAAAAAGATGCAGAAATAAATAAAGGCAAAAGTAAATGAAAGAAAACTCGCAAGGCCCAATGGTAGCTAAACCAAATACTGACAAATTGAGTATATTGAACATAAATATAAATATGTGTATATATATATATATTCACAATAAATGGATAATGAGGAATTTTACTGTTCACGGGACATTCCTTATTTTGTAGCATATTTACAATATTTGACACATGACTCGGAAGAAAAGGACATGACGACATAAATTCTGTCATGAGGAAAACGATAAATGAAATTGTGAGCGAATAAATGCACGCGGGGGAGGGACAAAATCGACCAGTACATAATTCCACTCTATCTTGTCATCTTGGTGGGCGAACAGTCCACAAATATCTCATTTCAAAGCTTAAGATGGAAAGGTGGAGTGGAGTGTTCAGAACGATGTCTGGATTTCGTGGATTTTTTCCAGACTGACCACATGTCGAACCGATATAAGTCTACTGCTCCAGATAATTGAGTTTCGATCACCTAATGAATCAGTGATTTGCCTTTGCCGCATCATGGGTACGAAGTCAACCAGCATAAATTGTTGTTGCGAGTTTGCGTGCTATCGTTCGCCAACTCGCAACACATTTTTGCAACCCGTAAGTATTCCATCTTGAAGTTTGCGATGAAATTTAGACCTTCACATTCGGCTGAAGTGAATGACTGGTTGCATCGAAAGCCAGCAAGCCACCTGAAGGAGTTTCATCAAAATATCCCTCCAAATAGTACATTTGAATGTCAACCTCTTTCGACCGAAGATAAGATTGAGAGGATCGCTGCCTTGCAAGTAGACAGCACGAGAACACCGTCGAACAACAGTAGTCATTAATAATTCGCTTCCAAGTCAGAGTGCGACCTCGACTCCACTTCAGACCCACCTTCAGAATCAAAAGTCACTCCGGCTCTGTTCCATGTGCAAGTCTTTGTCAACGCCAGCTACAGGCTCTGGGTCTCGGAGTGCACGAACAGAGCCTTCTCTCGGACATTTTGGCAAGGCTAACAACAACTTCGTCATGCATTTGGCAAAATCAAGGGATTTAGCAGATACTTTCTACATCATCGTCTCCATCCATCTTCTGACCGAGTTCGCAGCCCCGGCCGACGTGCACAGGACTTATCTCAAGCATCAAATCGAGTTTAGCCCTAAATTTCGTTAGTAGTCATCGGTGGTGTCGTTCATTCATTTCGCGTATTCGTTCAGTCCGGCGACGCTTATCGTCGCTTTCTGTTCTGACATATCTGACCTGTAAACAGTTCGGATCCGTAATTTTCGAGATGATTTCGATTAAATTTAGCGAAGTACGTTCGCGTTATCCGAATCTATGACCGCTACGCAGACCACACGGGGCATACGACGACCGCGCGAGGTGATGCAAAGCTGAGCGTAGAAATAAATTCCCGTGAGTTCCATGCACCGGACCTACCGCTCGGCTGAATTCCGCAGCTGGCCTGTTGCTTTTCTTCGACGTGAGCGGGCATCGGTTACCACGCGTACCACTGCTTGTGACTGGGGAACACAAGTTTCATATATCATCATCATCATCCCCGCCATGGCAGTGCAGTGGCTGCTGCGAAGACATCTTCGACGAGGTCAGTGAGATCACGAGTACGAGTATCTACGTATTTATACTCATACGGGGATAATATACGGACTCGAGTGACAAAGGAGTACGAACGGGGGGTTTCGGTGCGGTCTCGAGGGCCTCTGCGTAACTGGAGCCCCCATCGACTGCACTCGCAAATCGAAACGCGATCAGGAACCTCGGCGCAGCGGTTCGGGATCAGGTCGAGACCACATGCACCAAATTCGTGCGATGCTGGCGACATGTAGAGCGCAGTGGGGACAACTGCGGCGAGAGACGAGACGCAGACGCAGGACGGTCTTTTACTCTGGCGACAAATCCTCTTTCCTGTCAACGATTTAGTGACCAGGGTCCCGTCCACTAACCGCAGTGGCAAGTCGTATTTCTTTCCTGGCATCGACATTTCCGGCATGCTGAGAGATTGATACCGGCAGCTGCTGCGGCAGCATCTGTGCTAGTACGAGGTAGAGGTGAGGGAGGGGATGTGAAATGGACAAGAGAAGCCCTTTCCAAAGCTGCAGAGTGGTGCATGTGTGAGCCCCAGATTCGAGTCGAGAAAATCTTTCTCAAACTCCACGAGACCAGGCCACCACCGCGGGCGGCCTCCTGAGGCTCTAACTTTTCTCGCTTCGCTCGAATCCCCTTGCTCTCTTTCTTTCTCCCTCCCTCACTCACTATCTCCCTCCGTTTGAATCTCTCTGACCACTGCACTGTTCAGGCACCCCCCACCTCTTGCGCCACCGCCTCCGGAAATCCGGCCCTCGTCTGAGCTCAGCTCGTCGGGATGGCCGGCCCCATATTTCCATCGAGTTCGGTCACCAATAAAAAAGGGCATGCGGTCTGTGTGCTGCGATCTACGAGCTGCCCATCACGGCGCTGGCCTTTTGCCCAACCCGCTTCATTCTACGACCATCGCTCGCTCCCTCGCTCGCTCTCTCTTCCTCGCCTCGCTCTCGCAAGGACAGACGAACCTTTCGGTGGATCGGAGATAAAGCTGTTGCATGTTCCTCGTCGTGGAATCCGCTCTCGAGATTCGTCGCTCAGACACCTGGGCCACCAGGCCCTGCTCTGCTAACATCGTCGTCAAATTCCGGCCTACGCTAGTTACAGGTTCTGGACACCCCACCCCACCCCACCTCAAGTGGACCGGGGCCGGGGCGACGAGTAGTCTGCCAGTAGGCTGCTGTCAGTCTCGTCCTCGTAGACCAAAGTCTCGACGTGAAAGCTGGCAAGCCAGAGAAACCTCGCTCGCCCGTAGTCTACGAGCTCGAATACCAGTATATCCGCCTGCAAGTGAGTTCCTCATCCTCCGATTGTCGGCAGATCAGTGTCGCGAATCCCTAGGCTCCCGACACCTCGACGACTTTCGTCTTCCGACGAGGTACAATACAAATATCGTGACATGTCTAATCTGATCCCCTACCCTCCTCTTTCCCATCCCTCAGACATCCACTCTGCAGTGTCGAGATTCAAAACTACGGCTCCACGACAGCGTATGGTTACAATCAGAAGCTTTAGCAAGTATGCGAAGTTCCTTCCGATTCACGACTATGAGCGCATCGACGTCGGTACTCAGTACAACTAGAAGAGCTCACCTCTGGCTCGGGATACGAATGTAGAGCGAGAGGAGAAAGAAGGGATGATCGTGCGAGTGAGGCAGCAGCTCTTCTGTCTGCGTATCTGGCCTATATCGCCAACCCCGCACCTCCCAGCTGTCAGGTAATTAATCATAACGACAAAAGGTCCTCCCTCGGAAGTCTACTGACAGAAGCTCCGAAAGTCCGGGCATGTTCAGCTCACAAGCAGCGAGTGAGGGGGGCAGAGGAAAGTCGCTCGCTTGGTAGCGGCAGCAGCTACTAGCACCGAATCGTGCTTGCTAATCATCCCTATCCATTCACTGGCTCGCTCGCTCGATCCATCGATCAATCAATCACGGGGTTTACGAGGCTAGTTTGAAATATGATGACACAATCTCACACGACGAAGGGGGAGAGAGTGACCAACGGTCGAGTTACAGACCAGAGAGGGAGGGAGGGGGGGAGGGGAGAATGGCATACAAATCCCGTGAGCATATCGCTTCGGATAAAGCAGATCCGCTTTGCGACGACCCGGAGACCCCACTGAATGTGTGGAGCTAGCAGGAAATGAGTAAACAAATGGGCGCCAAAGGAAGGGCGCAGCTGACAGACCATAAACCGCCAAGCCATAGAGAGACGACAGGCCTGGGTAATCAGTACGAGCTCACGTAGTCCAGGGACGAAGGAGGCCAGAGAAAATTGGTGATAATGATGATGGACAAAACTTCAAAACTCAATTGACGAAAAAGTTCCAACAGGATCAACTTTGTGACCCGGATCGACGCATTCCTATCTCCATTGACAATGGTTTGAGGAGGGTAATGAGAACTACCTTGAGCGCATGCCATGCCATCTCTTGTCTCGTCGACTCTGAGATGTCTCTTGAGCATCGACGGGCTCTAATTCTCTGGCAGTAGGTCTCCTGTTCAGATAAAGTTTACTCTCTACTCTATAACTAGCTTCAATCTATCTACTCCTACAATTTCTGTCGCACCGCACTGACATTGCTGCTGGTCGAGCCTTGCTTCTCCTACACTAGATCGACTTTCTACCTACAGGTTCTCCCCGGGGGCAAGTCTAAAAAAGCTATGCTTCTTAGAAGCACTGAATGGAGGGTACGAATCCCTCGTGTATGATTGCCAGGCCTTCTGATCGGTCGCCGGAGCCGAGCTGGTGCTCGTGCTGCCCAAGCTGGTGGACCTGCGATGGACACCCTTCTTCGAGACCTGATTGCACTGTCGCCTCTTGAGAATTTTGGCCGAAGCGTCCCATTCTGCGCGAAGAAATGGAATCAAAGCCTTGTGATAATCATCCGGCAGAGGCTTCGGGCCGAGCGAACTGGTCGACATCTGGAACACCGGGTAGTCTCCTTTGAGAGCACCATCCTCCTGGTGGCGGTCGGACGAAGGCACTTGACAGGAGGCCTTCTTCTCCGCCCCTTCCGACTCTAATCCATCGCCTTGCTGAGACAAAGACCTCCTCGCGGGCTGCAGCTCCGGGCCCTTCGAACGAGAAGCAGCGGAAGCTGCCTTGGGCAGCGAATCCCCTCTCCTGAATTCTACAGCCGGGACAACCTCCGATGCCCCCGCCAACCTTATGGCATTCGCCACCACCCGACTGGACACCGACCGCATGCCAGACTCCACGGCATTCCTGCTGCTGCTGCCCGCTGCAGCCTTAGCATCCGAAGGCTTGACGATTTTCGCCGATTTCGTCAGCTTGGGTTTGTAGCTCAGAAGCGGCTGCCCGCACGACACGGACACCACTTCTCTGCAGACGTGCACGAACTCTTTCGAGGACTTGGCCGCATTGGCACCTGACGGGCCCCGATTCACGTAGCTATGCGGATCCATGGGCCTCTCCTTCTGGAGCAAGTAGTGCATTGTGCCTGTACTCCCAACGCGAGCTGGGCTCGGACATGGGACCGGCACCTCCACCGGCCTTGACACTAGGGCCATCACCTCGCAGATTAAATGCTCCACTCCTCAATGCTGATCCAAATCCCTCCCTCCCTCTCTCGCTTCACTGTCGGAAACCCCTCGAGACTCCCTTTCGTTGGATTGAGACAACCAAGGCGAGCGAGCGAGCGAGCGAGCGGCCTCGCTGAAGACCCGAGGAGCCAAACGCTCAGCCGGCCATAGACGAAGACTCCACCTCGTGAATTCCACTGTTGCCCATGGCATCCGTCGTCAGGACATTCGGACTCTGTTATATGAGCGGAAAATCATTCCCGCGATGCGTCCTCACAGCTGGACATTTGTAATCCTCCACCACTCGACCACTGCAGAATAGAGAGAGAGGGAGGGAGGGAGGGAGAGGAGAGAGAAGCGGAGACGACACCTTCCCGGAGAGGTAATTTGAATGACCAGCAGTGGAATCCGGACGGGCCTTTGCCCTCTGTCACTTCTCGGGCCCCAATTCCACTCACACTCTTTCGGTGTGCACCGGTGTCGTGGACTCTTGACCTCTCGGCCACAAACGCATGAGTCACGTACAAGCAGGACTCGGATACGAAACGCGAGACGCCACTCGACATAAGCTTTATATCTTACGTTTCGTCCCAATCATTGACCCATTCATCTCTCGCCGGGATGCACACCAAAGATGCGGGCTCCCGCTGGAGCACGGCTGCAGGTGAGAGACTCTGATGAACCCTTCCTTCCTTCCCTCTCCTTCTTCGAGACGACTCCCCACTGCGCGACCCCGAGGCGAGCAGAGAGGGATCGAGCCAGCGGAGAAGGAAGAAGAAGCCAAGTACTCCCGCAACTCTCAAGCACTCACTCACTCAGCTCACAGCTCAGCTCTCCTCGCCTCGCTCACTCTCTCACTCACTGAGACGTAGTACTGAGGCGAACCCACTACCAACCGACTCCGACCAACTGCAAATCCTACTGGCACATTATCCACGATCACTCGTTCCGCCAGGGCCCGACGTTGCCAGTCGAATCGCCACAGGCGCGACGCAGAGAGAGAGCGAGAGAGAGGGAGGGGAGAGCAAGAGTGGGGAAGAGGGAGTTGAAGACCCGCAGCTGCGGTTGGTTGGCTAAGTACTTCGCAGCTGGAGCTCCAATTTATAGTCCGCTGTCCCCGCGAGATGGCGTTCCAGGACACCGAGGAATCTGCCTGCCCGGGAGGAGGAGTTGTGACTCGCCTCCGTCGACTTCGACTGACGACCTTCCTTCCTGCCCTCTTCGAGACTCGCTCGCTCGCTCGCATGCTCCGCCCGCACCGCACCTCACCGCACCGCAGCACGAACGAAACTCACTTTCAAATTCTCGTCCTCAGGAGATTTTTATTACGGCACCCACCTCGAGCTGCAAATGCTCAAGACTGCATAGTCTGAGGGCGCCATTAATGAGCGAGCAGGAGGAGGGTCCCGGGGTGGGGGAAGGGGAGGGAGAGGGGCAGGGGAAGGGAGGCGAGGGGAGGTGAGAGCTTCAGCTCCCCCCTTGCTTTCCTTCCTGGTCCGGTCCGGGCTGTCCTTTCTTTCACTTTCTCTTTCTCTCACTCGCTCAAGATGGCAAGGCCTGGAGGGGCTGGCTGTGTGCTGCCTGCACCAGGCGAGGCGAGGAGTGCTCGCTCTTTCTGCTGCTTGTGGGGTCTGCTCATGGGCGAGGCCCGGGAGAGGGTAATGATGGTATCAATGCCTACTGGCCCGTCCATTAAGGAGAGTAGGTGGTGATCCACATTTAAGCTCCTCGTTAATCAATGATCAAACCCGGATACTAAACATGATTAAGACGACAATTAACGACCCCCGCTGGCTTATGCTCTGAGCAGGTCTGGCTACTGCTGTAGGCTGGGCTGAACTCAACCGAACTGTCAACTGATCTGATCTGAACTGGTCATTTCTGGCCTGGACTACGGAGCCCTCGGATTCACAATTCAGACTCGCTCTGTACCTGCGTGCTATTCTATTCTGCGTGCAGGCTCAGGAATCGCACTCGACTACCCGGTACTGTTCTCTGCACTCTGGGCCCTGGTTCCGCCCTCGCATTACCCAGTAGATTTCTTCGTTGCTTGCCCTGCCTCGTACCGCTTGCGCATGTCAGTTCAAATATAACTTTGTCACTTCATGCAAATCTTATTTCGCTCATCAATAATTATCGTTACCCCTTGTCATTGAGGATTTTCGTATGTCGTACGCAGTCCCCTCGTCCTTGCAATATTTTCTTGTTGGAGAGTGAGTGCTTGTTTTTCTATTAAATCTTCGGTAATCATCACGTTCTGGACCTCATTTGTCAGTTCAAACCATAACCATATTTTACTCAATATTTCTGGTTTTGTGGCCTTCGCATGGTCTGACTTACGGTGTCCGACACAGAATATTATAACTGGTTTGAGCTATAATTTACACTAATTACGGTTGAGAAGTGGGTAATCATCAGGTCTCTTGTCTGATGGGTTACCAGAGACGGTATCCAACCCTCAGCATCTGAACTCGAGGCAGGTTTGAATCTCGTATATTGTACACGAGGTTCTTCTGCCGTCAATCAGGTAAATCACCACATCCTGCGCCCACATGTGGCTTCTGCATTCTCTCTCGATACGTGGGTTCAAACAGATAAAGGTAATGGATATATATTGCGCATGCTCAAAGCAAGTAAACAGTTCACCTTAGTCAGCGTTCTATTAATCGCATAACCAGGTTTTCATGTTTTGAACAAATTGGTGAATATTTAAATAGTATTCCTGTAAAAATACAATTTTTTAAAACCAGAATAAGACCAATGGATTGTCCAGAAATTTGAGACAACACGTAACTGAATGTTTAGTTTTCTCACATCAATAAGAGTAGCTTAATCAAAGCTTTCTTTTTTTTCAGTTTCACCGAGCTGTTTTCAGTTAGGCAATTTATGATTCATAAAATAATAAAGCACCAAGCTTATCCCCATTTATCCAGTACCGAACGTTTTTGGGTTACTTTTTTCCAATGCCCTGAAGAAATAAGAGTACAATGAATGCACTTTTACGTGTATATAATTTTATACTGGAATTGATTGCATCGTAAAAGTACAATATGCATTCTCATGCACATTGAACTAAAGTCTATGCTCAAGGTCAATGCTAATGAAAGGATAGCATAAATGTAAAGAGTGGAAATACCTATAGGATGATAATAACATACCAAGTCTTACATGGAAGAAACATTGTCAAAAATGTGATTAGGAAACAAGTACTATTGTATCTAACATATGAAGGTGTATATGAACGATATAGATGGAATGGATTCCACACAACATCCTAAATATTATCCAACGATTCATTTCCAAGGATTTTACTCATTAATGAAAGACTTCATTCAGTGGAAAAACTGTATTTAAAGATAAGATTTAAAATTAATCAAGCAAATTGTTACTCTACCGTTTAGTTGGGTAAGATCCCGGGCAGTCAGCAATTTTGGCTAATTCTGAAACCTATGTGTTACTTCTATTTCTGGTCCCACATTTTTCAAGACCCGGCTCTCTTTTGGCTCTATACAATATCCGACAGAAAAGGAGAATAGTTTGTTTTCGTGTACAGTATTATGTGTTGGGATTCTCACAACATTAACAAAAAAACTCATTCTTTCTACAGTGGATACAACGAGCTAATAAGACAGGAAGACTAAAACGACTTGGTCAAGATTTCTCCAACACTTTTCGATAAGCTTCGGATAATCCGTGTCCACGCTTCGGTAGATTTGGTGCAAGGATCCTCACCTTTTAACATGATGCACTTCAAACGTGTGCTTCTTCAAGCATTATCCTCACAGCATAAGGGCTATACAAATACATAGATTCCAATTTTTAAAATAGTAATGATGTATCCTCGACATATGACATGATAGAGACTCAACAAACAGAAGTTCCAGGTTTGCTTCTCACTCAGGTAAAAGAATGATACATAATACTATACACTCCTCTGCTACTCCATGCTTTTGTTATGCATTTCCACAAATTAGAAGTAAAAAAAGTTACTGGCTATCAAAATATATCCCACAACTCGGGCTGGACCCTTTTACCTACTTTATCGTATCAAAACATGTATGTTAAATCGCCTTCGTCCTTTGGTTCTTTTTCACAAAGTTTGTGTTCGAATTCCGACAGGAACCCTTGGCAATGCCCGCGCGATTGACGTTGACCTTTTCTCTGCTTGATACGATCACATATGGTCAACAATAAATCCGCATTTTCTTTTCAACTCTAGCACCCCCAATATTCAAGAAAATTTTCACAAGAAACACGCAAGGTTTAATTTTCCTCAATAATTAAACTTCATTATACAAGTCAAAGCTCAACATCTAAGATGAAATATTTTTTTGAAGAAAGCCACATTTTTTTCTTATTGTTAAAGATGTATACTTTCATCACATATTGATATGTTAAGATAACCATACCAAGAACAGTATTCTCCTTCAGCATTGAGAAGTAGTGATATTGGGACCCATCAAACGATCCATGTTTGAATATATGGAATAGCTCTTTTCATTGTATCCACAGTTGGACTTATGAAAGATGATGACGCCATGCCGACAACTGATCAATTAAGAAAATTATATCTTCACATAGAATTTCCATTCGAGGGTATTTTTTTTCCAAGTTCCAAATCATTTATATAAATAGTATGTAATTATTGTGATATGTTAGCACGAGGATGTACTATGTAAATCATCATAGTTGACTTTGCAGATCGAGACTATGAAATTCGAATTACTTTTTGACTTTTATCATTATAGATTCACGTACTTTACCGCATAGCATTAGCCTTTGCTCCACGTTAAGTTGTGTATTGAATTTTATTTTATATTTTAGTAGAAAACATTTGAAATGTGGAGCTCATCAAAGTGTTCACACTCCATCACTGTAATGATATCGTTTTCTGTGTTCATGATTTTATCTTATTTCCGCAGTAGCATGAGGTAAAGAAATCTACAGACGTATCTGAGGTGGTCACTTTCTACCTGACTTCAATCTATAGAATCAAGTGAACGGTCTTCACCCTTGCTTGATCACTTGGTACTCCTTAAAACTCAAGTGAAGTGATCATAACTTGAATTAGAAATTCCTAAGATCTAATCTACAGTCTAGTGAAATGATTTTGACATGTTTTAAATTCAGATCGTCTGCCTTGTTAAGGACGGAGTCGTCATAACTGCAAAAGTGGTTGTTAGACATCATGGAAGTAAAGGATGAAGGTTTATCAACGGATTTACTGTTGAATAGTGATGAATTATTACATAATAGATGCTTAGTATATAGTTAGGCTAGATAAGACAGAGAAGTTAACAGAAGAAGATGAAACCTGATATCGGTTGATGGGGTCCACCAGTGAGCTGGGCCGCAGACAGCAGAACGACAAAGCTCGCCTGTAGAAACCCACTACCATTCACAATTTCCGGTTACTATTTACCACCACTGCGCCGCCAAGAAGAGGCCTTAGGTAAAGAATTTACAAAAGTCAACCAATGGCTTGTTCACTTGTTGGCTCTTTTCATCCTTTCCGATACGTTGCTTGGTCCAACTTTTACTTATCAAACTTGGCTCTATACGATAACGTGGTAGATCTGCTATCGTGGTAGGTGAATAGAACGTGGTTTACACAGGCGCAACTGTACGATGACATGTATGTGGTCGTTTCATCCCACTTACGCCCTATTTGTGGTACCTTCCTTTTGCCCGTTAGCTTGTTAGAGCACGTACACCCTCTAGCTATAACCCTTAATTGCAGTTTAAATGCATCTCTCCCAAGCATGTTCACCCAAAGGTCGTCGGGAAAATCAAATAATGTTCTTAAGTAATTCCATTAGCATGTAGTTTTATTCCCCACCGAAACAAGATTAATTTTATATGTGAATTATTCTCAACTTTTCCGAAAATGTGTATTCATATTGTTGCATGAAATTAGATTGACATAAATCTATAGAATTGTAGATTTTGAAAAACCTATGATTGTTGAATTCTGAGCTGTAAACCCGGTTGATTGCGTCTTATGATTACAGAGAGTGACTTCATCTAACGTAGAAATAAGATCCAAAGGCGTTTCAAATAAATTGCAGTCATAAGTTTCAAGATTTAGTTCTTTGGTTCCCGTATGCTGAGCATCGATTTCTTCTCCCATATCAGAGGTAAAGTCGTTCATGCCATCCACACACTGTACTGAATAAATTACTTTTCGTGCGACGTTTCTAAAATCGCAATCTTTAATAGATGGCTAGTTGGTGAAATGCTTCACCTCACGCACATGGTTGCAATAGAAAAGACCATGCGTTCATTCAGCAATACCATGCCCTGCTGGAAAATTCCTTAACTAAACAAAAAGTTTTGGTTTCTGGGAAGCAGCGAGTATACAAGATTCCAGAACCCGTATTTCTTAATCGATGCAGCGTAAGGAGAACTTTGGAATAATCACAGAGATTGACGACTTATCACGACCCCGAATCCAGCGTTCGGGAAGTGGGGCAATGGGACTATCAATGACCGAAATTACCTCGTACGACCTATGGCATGTGGGAGGTGCCGTGCTGGGTGTCAAGCTTACGTGGCATAGGTCATTGGCTTTGTGTATGGATACCACGTTCCGTAGAAGAAAGGAGTTCTTGACTTCCAACAGAAATTTACGCGACATGAATGTACTTGAGAAAGCTTGGAGGGACTACAAGACAGGGTTTGACAGGCATGGCTCAAAACCACCGGGTGACCCCGGAAATGCGCCACAAAACGTCCGGGGCTACGCCCCGACGTTTTGACTAGAGCATTCTTGATTTCTCGGGGTCGCCCGGATATTTTCGGAAAAAATTTCCGGGGGTTCTCAGTGGATTGAAAGCTATTGAGTCCGCTTTATACGTGTGAGTGCTCCCAAAAATTTTTCAATAAAATGACATTTACAACGGGTGTACCCGGGTTTAACCCTTAAAATCCTCCGGGTGTAGCCCCCTCTTAGCAAGAGTGCACCAGCGGATTCCTCCGGTTGTCCCCCTGTTTCACCCCCTGTTCCGGAAGTAAGTTATCTATTCCGGGGGATTCCCGGGGGAATGTCAAACCCTGCTACAAGATCCTTCACAATGATCGCTGGGGAATGACAAATCACCCGAAAGTGTAAATAGACATCATGACGAAGAGATCTTACTTTGATTAATAAATTTAATCTATTAAACTCTTAGGACTTCATAACGCTTCTGCAGGTAACTTTGTGTGAATAGCATAAGGATCAATTTTTCTCATACAATAACTAGACCCCACGGCAACGTTGGGGTTCCAGTGATCTCGAGGTTGATTTGAACAAAGGGCAATTTGAAATCGATTATTGATCCTGGATAGAGTGAGGAATCAAGTGACTACAAGATTCAAAGGAGCGTTGGATATTGTAGATTAGGTAATACTTTTTTCCATAAAAACTGGTTTATGTAGTTGAAGATACTTATCTTAGAGTTAAATCGACTAACTAGAGTGAAAAACTGATTTTGAACCGATAAAAATATTTCGCTTCACAGCTTTATTGGTGACACTTAACCTTTAGTGGACTCCACACAATGAAATCTGGAAATTGGGTTAAATGATAGTCACACTGGCCAAATGACTTCAATTAGTGTCAATGTCTGAAATATCACTCCCCAAAACCGTGATATACTCCCTCATACCCATACATTTAGAATGCACTGCGGCCGCTGGTGCCTTGAATTTGTCAACATAATTCCACGTACCCTCGCACATGTGTAACTTTGAGATGTGCCAGAGGACTAAAAACCATGCAAACACTTTCGGGAGAAGATCACCTGTCACTATGAAAGAATGAGAACACCACTATCCAAGTTGTGGATAATTAGGAATCCGCAAGCATTGAGCCACAGGTTGCGGACACTACCACTACAGGTTCAAAGTTAAGAGTTTTTTATTTTTTATTTCCTCCTACTCTGACCAAGAGCAAACACAGCCCACAATAAAGATGACCGTAAACGGTATGAGGCTATACACGTACCTTTCCATCCCCTGTGATTTGAGAGCAAAGTGTTATAGTGTTCGGAATGAAATTGAGTTATATATAGCTTCGAGGAAGAATTACAACAACATAAATACCTAATACGCTTTAGATCAAATCATACTTACAAGAGAGTGACATTCAATGACATTGGAGATAGTTAATAGATAGAATTGAAACATATGGAGAGATTACTCAATTAAAAGACACCATCCAAAAAATGGTAGAGACACCTTACGAGTCTAAAGGTCTAATCAACCTACATGACAGGCTGCCAAGATAGATGTGATTATAATTCAACAAAGTATAAATATCAATATAGATAGTTTATGATACATCCCTTTCTTGAATTTATACTTTGTGAGCCTCTATATATATCCAATTTTAAAATATTGCATTGGTTTGAAATATAACTAAAAAATTACAGTAGCACTCGATAGTAGTTCCATCATCGAGTGCATAATGATGATTATGAAAGATATTTGAAGATAGGATCTTAAAAAGTAGCATAATTGAGGTGCTAATTAATTTTTCATTTCAACTAGTTGAGTCGTAATGATCTGCTTGTTTATTGACTCAATATAAGTAATTATAAAATGAAATATGTGATGTGTTTGTCTATCTCACTTGAGCATCCCAAAAAATATGATACTTGTGTATCCTTTTCATAATAATCATTATCTTGTAAGATATAACAAAAACATATTTTACGTAAAGTATCATGTATCAGTAGAAACAGTCTCAAATATGAAAAATGAAGCGTATAGTAAATAAAAGAAACATAAGGTATTTTTACACCTCTATCCTCTCATCTGCAAAATAATAATCCCTTGACTCCATTTCAGATACGAGATCAAATTCTATATCAAATCCAAAAAATTTTTAAATGTTGATAATAAATTTAATCATACTTCAATTAAATCAGCTCAAAAAATGATAGTATTTATATAAAAATCCAAATTCTTTCAATGATATGAATTTTTTCTCAAATCATTCATATATCTCTCTTTAGAAACTAACTGAACCTAAATCATCTACCTCCTGAGTTCCTCCAAATCTCACATCATATATGCTTCACACAGTTTCCGCCCACCATGCCTTTTTATGTTGAAGATAAAATAAAATCTCTTTATGTATAAATAATATAGAATGATTCTTTCTCTGTTATTGAAGAGGATTTTTTCTAGCCAACTAAATAATTATGTTCAGGAAAAAAAAGTTGCAAATTAATCGAAGTATTGATATTTTACTACTTAAATCCAAAGCCCGCCACAACGAACTCGTGAAGCCATTACCTACCTTGTACTTCTAACTGACTATTTTTGAATATTTTGGTGTCTAAAAGGTAAAAGGTGGATATCAACTCAAGAAAAGAGCCCGCTTCGAGGTGCTGTACATAACAAATTATAGATTGGACTTTATACAACTCATCATGGAATACATACTCCACATACACGTACGGTTTGTTATGCGATATACATTGGATGCACGTATCGATGGATATATACTCGTACTTTCTTTCGAGAAGAGTGTGCATTGTGCAAGAGGGCACGCATACGAAAGACACGAACATGTACGATGAGTTCTATTTGACCATATACGGAGTCCCTCCTACACACAATGTACGGGATATTGCAGTAAATGCTCATGAAGTTCTGCCAAAGCAGAAGCTGAAGGGTCGCGTATAATGTGGTCATGGATGCAACTTCTGCAATAACTGCATTTCTCATTAAGATTTGACTTTTGGGTGCCTAATGCACTAAATCTCCTTCTGCCACCGAGCTCCCCTCATTCGAATTTTTTCAAGTCGCCAAAAACAATATATTTATTATGTATCTACTCCTTCCGCAACGGAGGGAGAGTGAAAAAGTCACGGCCATTCTTTCAGACCAATCTACCGAACCGAGCATCGTATCAGCGCCGTATGAGGTCTTGATCCAACTCGTTATAAATTTCGGTCAATGCAGTCTAAATTCAGGTGCCTTCCAGTATTGACTAATGTGGAATTTCGCGACTACATCATCGACACTTCAGCGCGGACTTTTTGTCCTCCTTGCGTGAATCAATCGGTGTATTTGCAACCAACACCTTTTTCATATTTTTAGATTCTATGGTCCTGTGAGTGCAAGTTGCATTTATTTTTCTGAGTCTCTGAGATTGCATAATCGTGAAGAACGGGGATCTTCAGTACATAGAAATATTCAGACACGTTTGATCTTAGACTTTCAGGAGACTGGATGCAACTTCCAGTAACTGGACCATGGAATCTAAAACCAATGGTCCAGTTTTTTTCACCTTTTATGATAACCCAAATTAGAAAACTTGTTGGGAAAGGAACTTAACTGAACACTTGTTCTTTAATGGAAGACATGGTTTATACTAATTCCTTGATTTTGACTTTTTCACCTATGCAGCCGATCCGGATAGACTTTTTTTATCCGAAGAATACAGCTGAGTTGAGCTTGCACCCACAATTCGTGATGTGTTCTGTCGCAATGCATCATTAAAGAATCATGTGATCCAAGACCAACTTTGCCTAGCCCAGGCGGGTCTTGGTCATAGTACCAGGGTTCAGTCTTGAATATACCACATAGTTATTCCGTCTTCTGCATTGACAGTTAAAAAGTAAAGGCCAAAAAAATTTGAAGCTCTAATATTATATCCATAGTAATATGGGTACCCATATAACACCGGTTTGTAAAATAAATGGTCCATATTCCATATCTTTCCAATGAACATAGCTGTATATAATAAGGTCAATTGCATACGCCCTTGTTACAAAATACCTTCACAGTAGACTGCGTGTACCAATTACACTATTTATCTGTGATAACCTCTGCGTGTATATGTTATAGGGTTCGGAGCTTAGATAGTCGTGTGAAAACTAATTAGTCACTCGAGTACGAAAACTATGATTTTTATCACCAAACCGGGTAAAGGTAATGGTCAAGTGCATCGTTCGTTGTTATCACAGACACACTTCTGATAGGATCGCCACAATTACAGGCTGTATTCTACAACTGAAATAAATGTAGAAAAAATCCATAAGCACATGTGAATCTGAGATTTTTCACTTCAGTGGAAAGAATGAGTATGAAAAGGCCTCCAGTAGGTTTTCTTCTGAGCCCAGAAGATGTGCGATAAAATCAGAGTGAGCATTTACGATCGAAGAGGGGTGGAGGGTTGGGAATGAAAAGCAGTGCCGGGAGGCACTCCAGAGCAGCTTGGCATGTTCTTTGGCGACACGATCATGGCACTGGAGAAGGTTTGTCGTCTTCTCCGGAGGGTGCTTGCAGCCTTTCATGCCCTTTCTTCGAGTGCCACATTCTCTTGGCTTGTAATATGCTCGTTGGACGCATCCCCCTCGTTCTCTTCGCAGCCCAGCCTTTCCAAATCTCTGCGCATTCGCGACGCACCATCCAGGCCCCCAAAATGTTTGGACTCATCGCATTTTCCAATTCGTCGAGGGCATAATGCGAGCTTCGTCGGGCGATAGGTGGCTAGCAAAGAGCAGAGAAAAGCGCCCCTGCCTCGCGTCTCCAGCCTCCACATCCCACGGCTTTTGTCTGCTCGCTTCGAGCTTCGTGAACTTCGAAGCCTCGATCTTGCGTATGACGAAGCCGGGCCGAAATGGGCGGGTAGGTGGTGGGTGCTGGCTGATTCAGGGCCAGAGTGGAAGATCCTGGGCGTGTCATCTTATGCAACCGAAGACCGCACTCCGATGAGCCAGTTTTGTTTGTTGCTCGCCTCCGCTTCAATTTCTTGCATTCTGCTGCATTGCCAATGTCATTCGAGGCCTACCAATCTACGCTAGCCTCGCCTCCCCATCCACGTCTTCGCGTGCCATTCCCAATACTCGTACGTGTACTGCACGTGGTTTTCGATGGCCACCTTTGCAGAATCCCCTCCATGCTTGAAACCGCCGCCCTCGCAAATCCCAGAGTGCCGGTATGGGAACTCGAGGTGCTAAGCAATGACTTCTTTCCGTTCTGTCACCGTGTGCAAGCAATGGCCCGCATGCATGGTGGCTGGAGGAGGGCGGGCGTGCGAACTACTGCTTCTGCATTCTCTCCACTCGAGCTTTTAGGGCTCCGCAAGTGGACATCATGAAGAATGAATGAGGGGAGTGACATGGATGTATGTCAGTCTAGCCAGTCAGTCCTCGAAATTGCAACATCCAGCAGGACTTGGACCTCGACCTGGACATGGGAGCACAGTAATTAAAATGACTAAACGCAACAAATTGAAAGAGTTGGATTGCACCTCAACCTGAATTGGCATTGCAAATCTTAGTTTCCAGACCTTTTGGTAAAAGAGATGAGACCAGAGTTCTTCACGGAGAAGGAAAGTAAAAGAGTCCAGTCAAAGGCAGATCGGCGGCAATAACCTCACATTTCCAACATTGAGAATCTCATGATTGAGATGGAAAAGAGGCTGTGGGCCAAATAAGCATATGTCCTCATTACACTCGATCCGAATATGGAGCATAGACCTGTGCCATAATTTGTGCATACTCTCTTTCTCCATATGCATGCACACACACATTCCTTCTCTTCATAGACATTCCTCCTGAACTATTTGATGAATCTGCCCATTTAAGGGACATGTATGAGGAATTGAGTGAGGAAAGACGGAAAGACGTTGGCTTTATAGCCTTCATCTTTCGCCACATCGTTATGTTGTTTTAAGCCATGTCTCGGGAACTCTGCTCCCTCTGTGTATTGCATGCATGCATGTGCAGCCCATTCTCTCTGCAGCAGTTTGATCTTCTATTCATGTTCATGTTTGATTATGAGTATGAAAGGTTTTAGTTGATGCGAGCAGCGAAGCTTTTTTTTTCCAATGAACAGCAACCGTGAAGTTATGAAGAAGCTATGTCGTCCGAATGGAAAAATCTGCATGCGTTGACAAGTGAACACCAGCTTGTGAATACACAGGATGAATCACGTAATATAAGCTTGCGTTCAAATTCGCAGATAATCGGTAAATCAATTAGAAATGACATGGTTAAAGTCTCTGCGCCAAATTGCAAACAGATTTCACCGTCTGCTAGCAATTGAAGTCTGTGTCATGCCAACAAGTGAAACCAAAAACACTGTTAGCAGTTCAAGAGCATCAATTATAGAAAAATAAATATATATATATATAAATATCTCTAGTCGAATTTCAGCTCAAAAGTTCGACATCCTTACTGTTTACGTCTTTTGTCCTCCTACCAGTCCTTTCCTTTCAATCATCGAATTTGCACTCGCCGTCCTCGTGAAGGTCCTCGATAAAGTGACTATTGCAGCAGCAACAGTGTTTTCTCTAGGCATCTTATGCGACATTCGTTGCCTTTACAGTGGTTGTTGCTGGTTGGACTTCATCAAGATGAGATTCAGGCGCTGCCGTGGCGTATATCTCATGCTTCGAGCAACTTGTGTCGAAAAGGGTTGTTAACCTTTTTGGAGCTGGACACTTCAATCGAGTTGAGGCAAAAAAGACTTACACGTTTACTATACACATGGAAGGTAAGATGGGCAGACAATGAGAATGGAACATACATCAGCCTGCCTACCAATTGCAACCAATCGAAACGACCTCACACACAGTCGAGAGCTTGATCTTTCTCGTTATCAGAGCCTGTTTGTCAACGGATCCTGCACGAATCAGAATCCTATCACGTTTCTGTAGTACTCCACCGTGGGTCAGCAATGAAAGAAGATTTCATCACGATGACTGAAAGAACTATGTGATCTTCTCAGCGATGTGAACGTCTTTTCGCCGATTCCTGCATATGAACGGAGAATAAATCCGAATCATACATTGAGTTGGAGAAGTTCTGAGCTGCGTCTGTGGCCCCATGAAACACGTTCAATTTCTACTGACTTCGAGGGCCCCCGGCTATAGTGAAGAACGATCGAGTGCAGGACCATTGATGATCCTTAGTGAACACTTTTCACAGGGTTTGCTTCTGCTTGGCAACATTCACAGCGTTCAGATTACCTTAGAGTGATGACTGATATCAGCGATCACTCTGGAGGCTGATCAAAACCTTGAGGAATCAGGAATGGTAGTATTCAGTAGCTTATAACTTCCATCTCCTTCTCAAGCATTAAACATCACCCACAGTCTGATATATCAATATGGCAACTGCTACAATGGCAACTCCTAAAGTTTTGATCACCAGAGTGACACAATAAATCGCAGGCCTGCAAGCTAAACGCCTAGTCATCACAGATACACAGTGCACACAACTTACTGTGCTCATGGAGATGGAAGATTGAGAACAAAACTGGAATAATGCCGCATATATACTTACATTGTAAAGATATACAAAATAACAATTTAATGTAACTTGAATCAACTACTTACGTATTAAGTGCTGGCCTGTAAGAGGTCCAGCATTGCTAGTAATACTTTGTGGAATTACAGTAGAGTTCATTCCAGAGTTCATCGCAGGCAGAGAGGGGTTATCTACGGCCATGTCTAAATCTGCAGGTGTTGGACAGTCACCAATCGGACCTTTCTTGTTGTCCATCCCAACGCCACCATGTTCTGAGTTATGTTCTTCAATTTTTTTCTCTTTGGTTTCCTCAGCAACCCTTTTTTTCTCATTCTTCTTCTTGGTAGCTTCTATTTTGCTTGCGTCATCGTGTGACTTCAGTTTCTCAACCTGCAAACCAGACGAGTAGGTGACATCGCTGTCATGGCTCAGAATTTTGAAATCCTCCAAAATAACATGCAGTTCTTAATGCGGGCAAATTTCTCAATTTACAGCTGATATATAACGAAGCGCATGAATCCTAAGAATCAAGGTTTTACAGAAAGTGGAATCGTGGGAAATTACAATCTTCGTCAAATTCTCGTGTGTGGGAAACAAGTTCAGAAATAAATACTTGACTCTACTCACAGACAAGTCCCTGCGACGAGCGAATTGAGATATTCTCGACTTCGCAAGGTATATTCACAGACTTGGAAAGTAGATCGTCGAAATTAAGATCAAAACTTGAGGTGCTAGGTGGAATTCATATAGAAGAACAATATAACGAGCCGTACAGTCGAGAAATACAGGAGAGAGCATTTCCAGGAATCACCAACGGAAAGAAAATAATTACATTTGATTCTTAAGAATGATACCTTTTCTTCAGCCTCGGCTTTAGCAATGTCAGCCTTTTCTTCAGCGGTGGCTGCAGCATCTTCCACTTTGTGTTTTATCATCCCGGCCATGTTCTTCGCGGCTTGCATTTTTCCTTGCTGTCAGGCTGTTCCCAAGTCGATCTCAGTGTCTACAGACGAGATGCACGCAGTGCGATGCCTGTTGGATAGTTCGATAGTTTCAGCCGTGAGCGCTCTCGAATTGCTCCAGTTAGAATGTAAACACGAGGAAGCCACTAGCTGAAGGCTATGAGAATGCATGTAGATGATTAATTGCACCTGGTTACAGCGATGGGATCTGCACACGCACCTCATCGGAGAACAGTCCACATGCATAACGTGGCACCGTGAAGCTTACCGCCGAATTTCCTCGTCAAAGCTCTTGATAACTCGTCTCCTGCATTCGGGCCATGTCATTGCGACACTTGTCCAAAGGGCTCAGCAACTTACATTGGTACAACAGCGTCGGTCTAAACGTGATACCGTCCTATACAGGTGTTGAGGACTCTTCAGAGTTTGAATTGCTTTCCCCATTCACAAGTTCTTCTCAAGCTCCCAATATGTTGCAACCTAAAAAGACAAAAGCACCAACGCGATCTGTTGCGACGCTTTTCGTCCGTCCTGCACTCTGCTCTTCTCCTGTTGTTTTGCCTCATTTATTGAAGAAGGAAACATCTTGATGACATATACACTCAAATTTGTGGTAACGACATTTTAGCTCAATCTTCCCAAATTGTTGTAGTCTACTTTGTCCTTAAGTAGAACAGCTGCCGCTTATACTGAGCACATGACAAAGTGGAATCTCCTTGACTTAGTTGAGTGGGAGTAAAAGCCTTCGTTCAATCTTTTTATCAAACGGAATTTGTCGATAAAGGGTGCTTTGTTTCTTCCACTCCTGTCCTTCCTGCAGTGACTAAATCCACTCCCGTTGACGTTTTTTGTGGAAGATTCAAGGTGCGTTGTTCAGAAAATGCACAACCACATTAAGGAGATATCTTCCTTTTCAGTGTTCATTTCTTCGTTTCTTCACCGGTCTAGAGGATTAACAATTTGCTACTGCATTCGCATGTCATAGTGGAGAAATGATGTTCAATCGTAGAAATTAATCCCCCCAGCAGCAGTTTGTTGTACGATAATCATTAAATGCGCCAGGCGGAGACCACTCCAGCTGACAGCCTTGTGCACAAAATTGCATCAGCAACAACACGAACACCACGAGAAGGAGGTAAGAATTGACTTGTTTAGAATGGTTGGTCTATTCTCATGCTCAAGTAAAGATGCCACCTTCATTATTCGTCACAGCAGTGTAATCTCCCGACGCTCTTGGATGTTCCTTTGAACAAAAAGAGTCGAAGGAGACTTTGGGACATTTCGACGAAACAACATAGTCCTTAAAGTGTATCTATGATAGAAGCCGGACACTTCAAGATTTAATCTCCAGCCCGATAACTACTTACTCGGGAAACCAAACACGGAAAAACCAACAATAGATCTCCACGTAAAATCGGATCTCAAACCCGTAATCTTCGAGCACCGTTCGTACTCCGAGAAGGAATTATCACTCCCGATCACACAAATAAGATGAAAAACCATTTCTTGCACATAGGAACAAGAAGGAAACTACTGTTCAAGATTGACGAACTGAGCACTCTCTCACACTCTTCACGGACCAACCATCCAATCTCAGAAAGTTCAAGATGCCTCATCATCTTTTAGACATCTGAAGTTAAAAGATCTGCATTGGGTACTGTACACTTTATTGACATGCTATTGTACACGAGCACAGCGGTACTAGAACGTACCTTGGCACTAAACTAAGTGTCACTCACTACATCCATAATGCAATCTCTTCTAAGGTGACAAGGATACACAATTGTCGAAACCCATATTTCTTCTATCTAGTCGACCCTAACAACCACAGATCTCCTGATTTTAGTGCACGTGTTACCCGCCAGGTGCAAATTATTAACTCATACAAGCCCTCCAAGTTCTTCCCATTCAGAGAACTGGGCTACAGCAATGAACATCAATTTTGAAAATTCACCTCGAGCTTCCCATCTCTTCACGTCCACCGGACGAAATTTCTTTAACGTCTTCCAAAATAGTACAATGACTTCCGCCTGAGACAATGAAACCACATCTGTTTAATTAGATAATGGGACTATCAAAACGTCCAAGCAAGACATGTGATTGAAGTCTGCATTAGGAGATCAAAGGTGCGAGATATAAGCAATCAAAGTAACCTTAAGACACAAACAATCTTTTGTTTCTCAAGACACATGCAAACACACTACCCTCCGTTGGTGTGCGGAGTAGAATGTGTTTCTTCCAGATTTGAATATCTTTCCAAATTTTGGTATAAGCATCTCAATCTAATATTCTCTTCTCCCGGATACCTCAATCTCGGCGTCATATACTTTACAACAATTACATTCTATCTAAATAGTGTTTATCTAAACAATTTCGGAGCAACTAATGGCTTGACACTGATATCTCCGAATGCGACCGAAACCCTTAGAACATGCCCAGAATGTCCACCACCTAGACGAAGAAAAAGAAAGACAAACGAATGCATTTGTCTTGACTAAACTATAACCAGCGATCATTTTGGCAAATAACCTTTATTCCTAAGCTTAAGAAAATTTAGCCATTACTTGTACCCACCGTGGCAGATTAGGGAATTGCTTTCGGGACTGAACTTCTGATGGTTCTTGCGATGAACCTGGATGCCAACCTTCCAGCTAGCTCTGCTGGTAAGAGAAGTGCTTCTCGTTGTGCGGTCAGCGGCAACTGGATGTACAAACACATGGTGTTGTTATCAAGGAGAGAGGACAAGATATTTAGACAATAGTGCTTCAGCGAAAAGCTATTATCGTAAAAAGAAGCTTTCTTGCTACTTTCAGAAAGAGCAAGAAAAAAGCAAAACTTCTTACCTCGGGGATTAACGTAAGCAATGGCACATATTTTAAAGAGGAGTTCAAGCTATCCAGTAATAAAGATAACTCTTCTGCAGCCGGAACCCTTTCCACTTCCTGCATCCTTCCATCCGAAAGCTTGTACATCTGCGCAAAACAATTGAGTTTTTTAGCCCATAATTAGTGACACAAAAGCTGTAGGTCAAGACAACGGTGTTAGTAAACACGATCTTATACGACAAAGTAACTACCGTAATAGTTGCTAATTGTTAATCGTTCACTTCATCATTAAATTCCGTGAAGTGCCCACAGCTGCTTCTGAATTCCAATTACAACTCACAATGGAGGCAACCTACGACCACTTCAATGTGCATTCCTCGATATATTTCTTGGATACCACATGGATTCTAAGCCACAAATTTTTCTCACCTCAGGAGGGCTCGAACTGTTGGTTGATGAGCCAGAAAGTAAGAAACTGAGTCGTCGCAAGTTGTTCAAATGTTCCAAATCCTCCTCTTCAGTGAACTGAGAAGGAACCGACAGATTGATCGGCAACTGCGATGATAACACTGCTGCAGCCCTGTCGAAAAGTGCTCTGTTCATTGCATCTACTCCCTGCAGTATCAAAAAGCTCTCTTTCTATCAAAGATCAAAATCTACACATGCAGCTCTACATGCTTCCCACATTGTATTTTCTGGCATCTGGAGCATATATATAGCGATTGACATCGCGAACTTGAACTGGACGCACAGTGACACGGCACCGTCTCACAGATTAGGGTCGAAGCTTTAAAGCCCTATGCCCCACTACTGCCTGTTGAGAATTTAGTCTAGATTCGCGAAATTAGAGCCATACATAAAAAGGAAGAGGTTTATGAGAAGCTGAAATGTAGGAAGTATAAACTAGCCGCAAGACTGGTTGAAGCTAGGGTAAATGCGTAGTGGTATAAAATGTAACATGAAGGCAATTTATCCATAATGGAAACGACATCCTCTTCTCGTAGACGCAGAGTAAGAAGTGGGACTTACCTTCGCTAACTCGTCCAGAACAATTTCTCTCACGAACAATCCCTATAAGATAGAAGCATTGAACAGCGGTTTGATTAAAAACTTTGCAATATCTGACACCCATTGTTCAGAACTACTTCAGAATATCAAATCATGAAGCAAATTAAATACAGTACTCGCCATGAACCTCTGCTAAGGGCGCAAGATTCTAACCTGATCACCCAATGTAAAATTCAGAACTTTCTTAACAAGCTGTCTTGACTCCGCAGCATTTGTTTCAGGACTGGCATCAGGATCTGCCAGTGTGTTGCGCATAGCCTTCAAAAAAGCAATGTATGAAGTCAACCATTAATGAAGCAACGACATAAATGCGACACAAGTCTAAGGTGATGACAAAGGACTGGCTAATGGGTGAGTTATGGAACATCGTAAAGACAACTTACCTCAGTTACCAAGGATTCTAATCTGTCGATTCTGAAAGCACCATCCTAACAACCAGGAAAACACTGAATTAGTACCCAAAAAAATGCATAAGAACTATGTAATGAATTTGACAGCATAACATTAGAAAACCCAGAACACCATTCCGAAGATGAGTCCAAAAAAAATTACGAGAACTCCCATAGTCAATCCAAATCTAAACATGAAAATCCGTTACGAATCACTTCTGAACGACCAGCTAAACTCCTGAAATTTTGAAAACATATCCATACATTCAGACAGCTGAACAGTAATCTGCCGAACTGTCCCTCAGTTCTGAGGTCGAGGATACTTGAACTGTCATACACAAAGGGAAAACAAGAAATAACCACCACAAACACGAACAAATCCGTGCCGACATTGGACAAAACCAGAGCACTTTGTTTTCTGTTGGTTGGAACGAAAAACTGCACAAGTTTATGCGCCCGGGACATTTTCGGTCAAGTAAGATAGAGTATTCAACTCAAACAACACACAAGAATTATATAAAGGGTAGGAAAGATGGAAAAGAACAAGGATTATCATGCAATAGTTAGGGCGTAAAAACTTTACAAGCCTAATAATCATGAAGGCAAGGAAAACACAGACACAGAGCACGAGGAAAATTGCTCCTTCATTTCAGCAAAGAGCAAGAATATAACCGTCACAAGAAACGAGAAGAAAGCATATAGTACAGACCAAGACGTCAAGTGACGTCCTAGGATAAGTAACAACGATGCAACGCATTCAAGGGACTCTTAAGATGCAGATAAATTCAAAACACAAACTGCAAAGACGAAGTAGTTACTAGTTACACCACGTTCCAGTTCAACCAGCCAGTTTATCGAAGAAGAAATGTGATCACCTTGTACAGGAGTGCCTGCAAGCTGGTTCGCAGTTGTGGAGAGCTGTCTGTGAGGACTTTTCTCGCAATCCATGGATAGGAACTACTCAGGACCTTGTAATTAGGATCACTACTAAGCGCTATACCTTCCAGTACTGTCAAGCTGAACCATGACAGCAACAGCAAAGTTAGTAATCAACAAAGTCTCGTGAAAAAGGTTTCAGAATATTTGCCAAAAATGGCGAATATCAAGGTATACACGTGTCGTCACCCCCTTTACCTTCGGACAACAAGTGAGAAGTACGCTGGTAATCGAATCTTGTACCGATACCTGCACAACGAATAAATTCAGTTCTTGAAAAAAACATAGATTCCAGCACAAAGGACGCACAATGAGAACATACCATGTTGCGCCAGCCACTAGTAACATAAAACAGAGGCGTCACACAGAGTGCAAATCTCAAGTATGAAGACAGAAAGACAGACTCGGTATATGTACGGGACATACATTGTGACGCCCAAATTTCCAGATAGGTCTCCAAAACTCAAGTTGCGTACACCTTTGCTTACGGCATTTTGGAATACGCCTGTCATTCACGCAGCAATATGTCAATAGAGCTGGCGCTAATCTCATCTTTTGTTCCAAAAGAAGACTTTGTTGAAGTCTGTGATGTACATTCACTGAATATTCTACATGCCTACAGCGAGTACAAGCTCTTGACAAGAACGGACCTGTCAAAGCATCGGAAACCTCGCCAACTTCATTTGTCGGTGGTAACAGTCTGCAGGTTCAAATGAAGGTAATGTGACACGTTCCTCATGGATATTTCAAATTTGTAGACTTTCAATCACCATACAACACATAATCTACAGGCCTAAAACGCCTATTCTGGGGAGTTGCCTCCACAGAATACTGGTAAATATACATTTGGCGTGCTCAAAGCTCATTCTTCCACATTGAAGACATTCCAAGACAACTATTGAAAGTCTTGTATACTACTCCATGCTGATGAAAATTTGAAAAGTAAAAAAGTAGAGACTGTCACCCAAGAGTAACGAAGTCACCAGCCAATGCATCAAACTCACGGTTGATGAGGTGCAACGCAGCTTCAATCAGACCGTCCCGGAGATCCTGTTTTACTTCACCCATCATTCCAAAATCTGACCAAAAAAACGGAACGAGAGGCAAAGCAAAGTGTCAAACACATTGTTGTAAATGAGTCTCAAAGACAGACCATAGTAACGTAATTTCCTTTTAGGCTTATCCTCTCAGGGTTAGTTTTGTAGCTAACGAGTCACCAGCCAAGTTTCAGATTTGTGTATCCAGACTCAAAGAGAAGGCTGAAAGTAGAATGTACTGTAAAGCAATCAGGTCAGAGAGTACATCTCGCCAATGATCATTCACTCAAGTACTGATCACACCTGTGAGCTATTGGTTTACTCGGATGTGGGAGTGGTGATAGCAGCCTAGCTGACATCGACTTGGAGCGTAGATTAAGGTGGGGATTGCTATATTGAAAGTTATGATCTCAAAATCATTGTTCAGAATCTACAGGAGGATTAGATTAGATATGAGCAAGCTATGGCAAATGCAAGGGAGTCCACAGGTCCTGTTGAGATAGAGACATCATATATAAGTGATTCATATGTATCACTTCTATACATCACAAACTGATTTCTGAAAGAAATATTAACACCTGAATCATTACATCATACCTTCCCTTATCTTGTACCATGAGCCATAACATAACCGATCTCTTCATGCTCTCACGCTAATTCTGACATAAGTAGGTATTTGGCAAGTGATGGAACTCAGTAACACCTATATAGACTCTACAGAAAGTAAAAAGGAAGAGCTTTGGGGTTATTGATATACCTTGAAGTATATCTTCAAACGAAATATGTAAGCTAAATGTCAGGAAAATCTGATAACTGTCGATACATATGAAGAAATTTCAGACGATATTAATTTAGTTCAAGCCAATATTGTAACCTGAAGTGTTACGAATAGACCGCCCCCCTACTGCTTATCATACAAAAATTTGTTAATTTTAGTATATTTATTTTAATAAGTACTAAATTTACATAAATAAAATTCTCCTAAGGTCAAATTTCAGGTAAAGACTGAGCACACTTGTCCCAGAGTATTACCAAGATACGCAAGTTTCCCGTCAGGTGTCCTCATCAAGTTGCCGGGATGTGGATCAGCATGATAGAAACCACAGTCAAGCAGCTGTGCTAGTGAGCAATTGACGCCAACCTGCAGAACGTGTAACGATGATTAACAAGCAAAAAAGATAGTGTTCATGTGTTCCTATTGTAAACATATCGGGAAGTCGTGCAATTTAAGTGTAACTGGCTCAACTGACGTGCTTTGAAAGTTTACCTCAACAAGATGTAGATCACTGACTTCAGACAATCTCTGGCCCTGAATAAGAAAATCAGAAAGCGTGGTCAGGAGTTTATCGAGGTAAGAATATACCAGACGCACAAATAACTACTTGTTCTATAGAAAGACAAGAAACTAGATCATACCTCCAACCACTGCATGATAAGAACCCTCTTGCTGGTAAGAGCAGAATAAAACTCAGGAACAACTACGTCTGGCAGATGCCCGAAAAGTTTCCTGTCAGAGTTTACAGGGAGTGTTAATGTTCACCATTGCAAAAAATATTATCCTTCTTCCATGAAGCATTCACGTTGGCAATTCAGAGAGAACACAGAGTATGACTTACTTGAAACGTATGCCATTTCTAGCTTCTGCTTGATAATCCATTTCCTACGGAAGACAAGAGCGAAAAACTTAATATGACGTAAGAAAATGAACAAGACAGGGCACTTCGATTCGCAGGAAGTTCTTTACATCAGGATGACATGGACTTGCCTCTGAGTAAATCATCATCCACAAGAAATAAAGGTCTGAATGCTTTGCACTGAACATTGTCATTCCGCTCATGAGGAGTTCAGTTTACCAACACCGTAATAAGAAATAAAATCGTCTTTTAATGCTTCAGAGATGCATTATTAGTATCAGTATTCTACATGTCATAAGTTGTGTATAGGAAGAGGGGACGACGTAAGACTACTTGATAGAGCATACAATTTCACATTATGGAAGGCTGTCAGTTTCTATAATTAATATAAACACACGGAAGTATACAGTACCTTGAAAAGACTTGCAGCCCACTCATCCACAATAGCCTGTCATTTACATATATCAAGACATAACGATGTGAGAAGCGGACAAATTGGTGGCTAAATCTATATGCCTTCTCCTCACCGAGCAGACATAAGCTAGAATGGTAATATCCAGCCATATAAAGTAGCGCAGTATTAATTCATAAGTAGTCAAAAGCTTCTTTAGTAACCAAAGTGTGTACCTGCAAGTCAGTGTTTAGCCTGAAAACTTTGCGGGCGACCCCAACAAGGTTGCGAAGAATATAGATATCTAAGGAAATGGCTGCTCGTACACCTGGTCTCTGCACTTTCACGGCAACAGCTTCTCCATTTGCGCGCAGACGAGCTTGATAAACCTGCTCACAAACAATGTAGTTCAAATATACCTTGGCACTATATTATGATGTAGCAATCGGTCTATCACAAGCATTCACAGAAGCAATGCATGAACTTCATTGATGCTTGAACAAGCAACTTGAAATGACCTGACATACTATGATAAGTCCTCTCGCTCTCATTCGTTCCGTAAAGTAAAGTTTTTGCATGTTCTGAAACTTTCAAACGATGTGAAGGAGTACTTAAGATCATTATTAAGACTAATTCCATAGTACTTTACCCGGATCTTTCAACGTAGCCATAGTAACTAAATAGGACATATTACCTGGCCAAGCGATGCAGCTGCAACAGGTTGAGGGGAAATTTCGGAGAAAAGCAACTCCACAGGTACTCCAAGTTCCTCTTCAACTATATTCAGCGCATACTGCGTAGAAAATGGAGCAATTCGATCTTGCAGTAGCGCAAGCTCCTCAAGGTAATCAGGTGATATCACATCCTGCCAACCGCTTCAGTATAAATATCGCAATTAATTGCTATACCACTCACTGAAACAGCGCATTTAGCTGTACTATACTCAATTGCAGCACTTTGGAGGGATACTTTCTCTAGTATCTCAGGCAAATCCATTCTTCAAATTCACCAGCTTACCAGGTAGGAAAAACTTATATATCTTCGCAACCAAAGATATATTAGTATCAACAATTTCTATGGCCAGAATGAGCTCTGCTACATAAACTCCTCAACTGGACAGTAGTGTGGTATACTAATGCCTGTGCAAATTGATGATGTCAATTGAATCGAGTTACTACGACTTACTGGGCGTGACGAGACAGCTTGTGCGATCTTCACATATGCCTGCAAAACACAATTCCCATTCTATGATGACTACTATAAATGAAAGCCATGTTCCAAATTGAGACATATATGAGACTGAAGTCAATCTTGATACCCATGTGCAAGCGCCTAGACAAACTTTCAAGTATTAGAAAATTCACTGAAAATAACGGCTTTCTCAGCGACCATCTGAGAAATTTGGTCTAAAAGTCGGTTACGTACTGGACCAAGCTGCACCAATGCAGCCCGAAGTTCTCCAGCTCGTTTCTGTGGTAGCAAGAGGCATGAGTTAGAAAAGTTCCCACAGAAGTCATACCAATTGGTAAACAGTGTGCTCATACAGCTGACAACATCCGAGAACACTTGGTGGTACTAAATTTAGCTAGAGGATCGAGATCTTAAAAAAAGAATAATACTAAATTTTTCTTCAGAGAATGTTCATCATAAATGCCAATGTGTACTTCTCCACATCATCCAGTTCTCACGTAGGATAGCCAACGAATTATCCATTTTAAATTTCGCCTGTATATTTACTCAATTGTTATCTCAATTCGTAAAAGCGTATAAAACATAGCAGAATTTAATTGCAGTTATTTACAATCTACTCATTGCAGACGATCTCAAGTGCACAGAAGATGGAATAGCGAGACATTTCCGCTCAAACCTTGAACATGAATTCCGACCGCCCTATCTGGGCATCGAAGTAGCGGAGAGCTGCCCAGCGACCCAGAGTAGAAGCCACCTGCACCATACGGCGAAGAGACAAAAATGGTCGCTTCTTAAACACTTGAGAGATTTTAACGACATCATACTCGTCGAATTGCTCGGCTTCTGAAGTGGCAGCAGCTGCAATGTACCCCGAATACTTGGAGAACGTGTCTTTCTCCGTTTGATCATCCCAAAACGCAGCACCCTCGCTCAAAGCAGCGCGAGCAACCAAAGATTTTCTCTCGACCGTCCTCACACAGAGAGCATTCCTCCCGGTCCGCAATCTCCTGCACTGAAGCCCTTCATGCTCGAACCGTCCACAATTCAGCGCATAATTATGCTTCCAACACAGAGTCGCTGCACCTCCGAGACTCGCCATGGCTCCGGAATTCGCAACACCTCTCGGGCGCGCAAGCTCTTCTTGGCTCCGCCTCCGTCACTCTCTCTATTGCAGTAGCGGCTCAGCGGAAGATCTCTCCCTCTGCGCCCGCGCCTGGTTGGCTACGGATTGCAGCGACGGACGGAGCCCACAGTAACGCTCGCGTGGACACTAGCAGCCCAGACGACCCACCTGTCGCTTTCTGCACGCACGGAGATCTCATGAATGTACGAGAACCCACTTGTTGCTCCGTTGGCCGCACAACTCCCCTCGAGCGTTTGTAAGATATGCATCTTTCAGCTTGGTTCATTCTCAGTACCGACGGTCCTTGGCTGCCAATCAGCGGCGTGCTGGCTCGGACTGAAGGAGATCGAGGCTTGTGCGCGGGGCGCTCCTATGAGACACGTCGACGTGAGCCACGGGCGTTGAGTACCGGAGCAGAACGTTGTGATAAGCATTTGCCATGAGGTTCTGCACCGGGAGCGTCGGTCGGCCGATCCGGGCCCTTCTTCTCTCTTCGGCTGTAGTGGCCATTCTCTCCATAACCAAAAACAGGTGACCTGGTACTTTATCGTCTTGACCTTGTAAAGGCCAATATTTTCCCGGTGACCACGATGAGACGCTGTCGATGGTTAATCTGGTTAGCGCTCGAGGTTTCCCTGCACTGTCAAAGGCAAGCTTTCTTCCCAAATTTTTTCATTTTTAAAAGATTTTCGGTTTTTTTTTTTAAGATTTTTTTCCTTTCGCAAGTCTCTGACGTACTTCTTCGCTTAACCAGATCGTGGGCCCGTCCATGGCGGCAGATGACCCCTCGCTCGGTCTGCTTCTTCCTTGCTATAATTCCTACGTGTTGAACCTCATCGACGACGACATGATGTCGTCTCTTAGGCCTGACGATGAGGAATCTGATAGAACAGATAGTGTAGAGTTTGAGAGGGGAGTGTCGCTGGTCGCGCAAACGCCAGTGAGCATGTCCTCACAGAGAACAGTGAACTGTTAAAGTTTGTTTTACCAAGTCTCTCTACTGCTTTCATTGATATGATTTGTTTTCGTACCACATCACACACCCAAAGGTACTTTGTATTGAGGCCCGACTAGTGCTGCGGTTTGCAATGCCAAACCATCGGGAACTTGAAGCCTTACGGTCATCATCAAATACGCATATTACTGCGACGTGTTTTCATCCATTTCGGTATTCATGTGGAGTAGGGGAAGTGTAAAGCCTTACCATTATATGTCATCGCGCATTCTTGCGTGGCCGTTGTTCCTTTACAGTCTTCCGTCAAATTGACACAATAGACGATGTGTCGTCCAGGATCAGCCATTACGTCGAAACACTTCTCTCGCCACCTGAAAAAATCAAGTGGAGCCCTTTCCGGTTTCACCAAGCTGCTCAATCATGTCGCCTACGCGATGTCGATGAGAGAGTGTTCCGAGTTCTGAAACACAAACAATCCTTCACACACTCGAGCCCAAATATTGTGTGAATGTACATAACCTCTCCAATGTATTTAAAACTCATTATTACTTTGTAGACCTGACATACGATTGGCTGATTTTTTCCTTGGACTCCACACCACGCACCACTTTGTGGTGATAATGCAACTAGAGTAACCACCGTTCCGTAAACTTATGTCGGGATGGATCCCTTGAAACTTGGTTGATAGGAACTGGATCCCTGCTGCTTTCAATTCAGGCGGGGGTACCACGTCCAGAGAGAGCTTCTTGAATTCTCATATTTGCTAGCGTTGCCTGCATGGTCCATGGTCCTCGTTGTTATGTAGTCTGGCAACACCATAATGCGTCGTAAAGTCGATGTCGTACTGTATATGGTCCCAGGGATCATACCGCATGCACTTCGGGGTAGAAAGTTCTTGTGGACAAAACCTTATTTCCCAAAATAGAAGCGTACATGGCGGTGTGATTCAATAGGTTGCAGACCTCCATTGCAGAAAAGGAATCTCCTGGAGGTGGTGCTGTCCGCTGGGTAACAAGTGTCAAAGCGAATCGGCCAGATATGCTGCCGACAGTGTGGAGGTGAAGAATCTCGGCCCCTACTTCACATAAATGATAGGGCTTCACTGCGATGACCTCCATATCTGACCACCTTAGAAAACGTCGTTGTCCTTGTCAGGCCGTTTGTGGAGCCTTGATGTAGATCCAAGTTGGGCAATTTCCACGTTTTTTAAGACAACAGAGTCCTAGGGCGTTATGAAGGTCAAATAAACATTTAAACATAGGGGCTTCGACAACCAAAGCTGTCATCTAGGCAGACATGTGAAGTCCGTAACCTCACACAATAAACTAGTTCAAATATTGAAGTCTGGTAAGTAATCTCGGGCAGCTCCGACATTTTTTAAAGCACACTGAGTTCCCCTCCGTAATGCAGTATCTGATCTGGAAATGACAGAATGCACACATTCAACACTGGAAACGTAGAATTTTATACTTCACCTTTCGTGCTGACTCTACGCCTAGATTACACCCGTGACAACAATACGGGGGCAGTGATCTATGTGTAAGATATCATTAAGCCACCGGCACAGAAATTTAATGATCTGCTTACGATGATCACATGATGGCATTTCAAGGGTGTAATCAACTTTACCTTCGTGGTGGCTCCTCCTTTGTAGCAGCCCAACACAATCATACCTAGAAACCTGAAACGTATAAAGGTTCTGCCAGGAGACTCTTGTTCGTATACTTCAGATACTACTCTGTCGATCGTGCAGGATTTTCTTTACGGGCTTCTGCTCTCTGGAACAATGACATGCTGAACAGCTACGAGTCCTTGATATATGTCAATAGATGTTGGCGGTTTCCAGAAGCAAATCCCAACCAGTCTTGAGAACGCCGCGAGGGAATTTACATGAACCAAGGAAAACAAGATCGAGGGATCGTTGACAACGATTCAATGACTGATAACTTTTAGTCCCGCAGAATCTAGATCGAGAGATAAAACGCCCACCTAATACACGTGATGATAACTTTTATCGATGCCAGAATTGTCATGACTTGGTAGATTCAATATGCTGCCTCCTAAAATACACTACATGTACGACCATCATGACATCATAGCTGCGCAATGTGACACTCTGTAACATGTCAAGCAACGACAGCACGTAAACGACAACTTGAGGATCACCACGAGGAGACTGCTGTGCAGTGTGAGACAAGTCAAGACACCTCCATCATCACGAATCACCTCTGTGCCTTCACCTTTTTCTCTTTGATTAGCTCCGACCATGTGACACTGCCTCAACTCACATTTTGAGTTGATATACAGCTCTTCAAATATTGATCAAGAAGGTAGACCAAGAAGCTGGCCTACCAAAACCAGGATTAAAAGCAGTAAATCAAAGCAGTTGAGGGGTAGGGAGGGATTACAGAAAGATGCCCACGACCGTCGTGTAAAGAAAAACAAAATTTCACTTACAGCTCTCCTCCCCAGCCCTGTGTCCCATTGTAATGATTGTCAGAACCACGCTCCTGCGCAGCATAAGCCATATCAGCCCCCTGAAGACCTTGAGCATGAAGCCGTGTAACTCTTGAAGAACTTGTAAACCCATTGCCTTGGTTAAGACTGGACTTTTGGCCTGTTACTTCCTGGCCATTGCTGTACATACCATAAGATGTGCTCAAGCCTCCCCTGTCCCTAGTGGGACCGATCTCACTTTGTGGATAGTCAGCTGCCTCTTGATATGCTTGATTGGGTTGTACTTGCTGCTGAGCAGACTTGATAACATGCACTGGTGATTGTTCCCACTCTTCATCCTCTACCCAGTCTCCGTATATGGTAGAGATTCTATCTGTTGGTCCTTTCCAGCCTCCCAGAGACTTATATCCTACTCCGGGCCCCTGGTTCAGCCTCGAATTTTGCTGTATAGATGCAGCGGTTGATTGCCGTACGTTCATTACTTGACCATAGCCATCGCCGAAAGATGAAAAGAAGACATCATCGCCGTCAAGAAAGTTACTGGACTGGTTCAACACGAACTTGCTATCAACTTGAACTCCGGAACCCATTTCGGCAGTAGGGTCAAACGGACCTCCACCGTATTTTTGCAGCTCTGCATGGCGACAGAAGCACGATTTAATGATAAAGACTTAGTTAATGAAATGAACGCGCTTTACATGAATCTTTCGGCTTCATGAACTACACCGTGGTTATTGAGACAATGGTGTCTATAAGAAGAAAATATCTCAGAGTTTAGCAAATCCTATATCAATCTGTTGGTAACGAACTAGGGGATGCAAAAACAAATCCATCGCTCCGAGGTCAGTCGACATTTGACTCAAGAATCCCGACGCATACAGGAAAAAGCCAGAGCTTATGGTCGTACAAGTTGTAGATATGAAACCTTCAGAATTAAAACTCAAAACCCAAGGACTGAGCTTCCAGTCAAGTTTCTATCCATATAGCTTCATTTGCATTCAAGTAGTTATATCGATTCAGAAGTGACATTCCACATCAATTAAATCACAAAGACCAAATGCCAATCGATATAGAGAGGAGCAAACAGCTGAAAATCATCGTAGGTCCTTCTTTTCGAGTGGGTATTCTCTAGAGCCTGAAAAACATAGCTTACCACATGGGATAACAGGAAATGAAGGAATTGACCACGCAAGTGAGAACGTTTAAAAAGATACCATCACGATGAGGCAAACAGTAAGTCGCCGAACCTGCTGTACCGTGTGCAAAGTGACATTTGTCCCCAAATGGACAGTTTCCCGTGGTTTCCCACTTATTGCACAAACGGGTTTTCCAGTTTGGAGGCCGTAGGTTCGCGGTTCCTCCAGCTACACCTCCCACACCACCACCACCACCACTCCCTGATGCACCAGCACTAGATGCCACAGTAATTACTACACTTTCTCTCGGGACCTTAGGTTGTGGAGTCTGCTCATCATGCAGAAAATTACATCTATCTCCATACGGGCACCCCAGTTCACTGAAATACTTCTTGCAAGGACGAGTCTTATGAAATCTTTGCATATCAGAGATATTTACTCCGTCTCCAACTGCGTTCCCCCCTCCTCCTCCTCCTCCTCCTCCTCCTCCTCCTCTTCCTGCTCCAACACCGCCCGTTCGTTCTCCATTCCCTCCATTCGAACCCTGGACAGACGGCTGAGTAGCTGCAGAGGGGGCAGCAGCCCCTCCTCCTCCGCCCTCTTGGGCAGCAACCACATCTTCCCAGCCAGGAGGTGGTTTACGAAGCTCTTCCATACCATGCGCAAAATTACAATTTGTGTTGTAAGGACAATTACCGTTCCTGAATCTGCTGCACAACTTAGTCTTGTAAAATATGCTCCCCATTCCTCTACCTCTCGACGCTCCAGCTTGCTGCCCTTGGCTGGAACCTGCCACAGAGTCTCCACTCGGAGTCCCTGGGGAGGGTCCTATTCCTCCTGATCCATAACCTTTCAAGCTCGGGCTGCCTCCGGGGCCTGGACCGAAGCCTCCGGCATTTCCACCATGCCCAGCGTTGGAACCTGAACCGTTGTTGTTAAAGTTTCCAGATCCGGGTCCATAAGGTGCTCCATCTGCCCCTCCCATATTCTTCATCCTTTTGAAAGGAGGCTCGTTCTCTGCAGCAGGTCGACTCCCTCGGCCATGACCCCCTCCCGCTCCTCCTTCAGCCCCGTTTGCCCACGAGGCTGCAGATTGACCTGCCGTCCCTTTGTCATTCCATCCTCCGTCTGCTTCTACTCCGGAATCCCAGTACCCGACCCCTCCCTCGACAACTCCACCTCCTAACTCTGCAGCAGCAGTTGTGTCCATTCCCCTCTCTTCTCGATTCTGTCAATCGATCTGATACATACATACACTCTTCGATTTCTTAGGTTACATATGTACAACAGACAGATTTGAGATCCCAGGTCCCGACTTTCTTCGTCGAAGTGCTGTCTTCCTCTCGAAGGAGAAAAAATCACACATACGGATAATACCTGACCATACAAAGCCGGACTTCGCTACATCTCAGCGACATCTGTCGTGCGTTGACATGACAGGGCAATCAAACGCCGTAGACTCGGCAAATTTTATAAGAAACGCCTTCCCGGTTCGGTCGAGGTTCCAGCGCTTGCGTAGTTTACAGACGCAAGATGGGGCGAGAAAGAGAGAAAAAAGAGAGAGAACACTTGCGTCGAAGCAAGACCCAGGGAATGAGTTTTTCTTCTCCTCTCTCCCTCGGACTGATGTCACATTGCGTTCCTCGTCGATCCTGCAGCTACGTATATTATTCATTTTCACACCAATCACGGATAACCAGCACAGCACCTCACACCACACCAAACCACATCACCTCACGACCGTCTGCTCCTTTGTCTTTCCAGCTCTTTCAGCTGGATTCTCCTATTTTCAGCTGCCCAGTGATTAAAGTCAAATATCAGAATTCCTTATCCACTTTTCCTGTTATCGCATGTTTCCATCTGTCAAACCTCTCTTGACATTCAGCAACATGTTAGTATCTCGTTGAAGTGGCCGGAGTGGAAAAAGGGTAAGCCCTAGGATGGAATCACATTCTAACAATAATATTCATATCATTGCCACGGATGGAGGACATTGCCAGTTACTCCCTTGGTATATACAGCAACATACCTGGCACTCAAGTCTTGTTGCCATATTTCTTAACATCCAAGTTTATTTACTGCTACACATAATATTTATCTATCAACTTTTGAAATTTTAAGAAGAACATAATACATTTGGAGTTGATCCTTTACTCACGTTAACAAATCATGTATATTTACCACTATCGAAAAGGTTTGTCCAGAATAATTTAATGCTTCTGTTTGCAAATTTTTGTTACTATCGTGCGAAAGGAGAAGGAGAGAAAATCACAACGCATGGTGACATTAGGGAACTATAACCATCACAAACAAAACCATACCCATGTTAAATAATTCAAGATGAGACCAGACTTCATTGTCATGGTGCCAAAGGAGAGGGAGAGAAGATGGCAGCTTACGGTGAGATTAGAGTACAATAACCATCACAAACAAAACATACCCTTGTCAAACAATTCAAGATGACTTCATCGTCATGGAACAAAGAATTTTATGAAGAATACAGAGCTACTGTAGAAACTCAAGTTGTTTCATTTTTATATATGTATGTATGTATTTATATTTATATTTATATATTTATATATATTCTATACTTATGGATTTAGTGTAAGCACTGTACTTTGAACAATCTTTTAGTAGCCATGTAGATATTTAACACAAGTACTACTATATTCATACTTTACAATCAAAATTCTCACATAAGCATTCTCCACTTGAAATGATTATAGATTTTGGTACCTAATAATTGGATGCACATGTAAGTAATACAAAAATTCACTCATACATATATGATATTATAATCCCAAATTCAAATTTACATGTGAAGTATAGACAAACAATCACATGAAGAATATTGGAAAGTAGTTTTCAATATAACACACAATCATATTGGATAGAAATTAACTCTCTATTTTCATGTATTGGTATCATTCTCATATGTAATCTGTTTTTATTACAACCTTGTGTAATATATGTCTTTCAAATTGTATTTTTTTCTTTTTTGAATTTATGAATTGACCAAAAAAATCCACATAAGAGCAAATGCACAAGGAATACATAAAATCCACAAACGAAGAAATTCACAAGCATTATGTCTACAAAATTTTCCATTACCATACTAAGTCAATGAAAAGAACAATTTTTTTATTGAAGATCTACAAAATGTATGATTGGAAAGATGACTCATTCAACTATTTATACACACTATTCCCTTATGTGATAACTCTATCTATCAACTTGACTTTGAAGATTCCGCTCTTGTTTCTACTAAATTATCTTTCAGCTTATACGTCCATTTGCAATCAATCAATGTCTGCTTCTATGAAAGCACCTCTATCTTTCACATTTTATGATCCATCAACTACTATATATCACGCTTCATAACATCATTTCACTCAAACTTATCGACAGAGTTTAAGCTTTTCAATAAAAAAAAAGGTTTTACTACTTATAAGATAACTCAATGTTATCAGCAAACTCAATATCAATATCAAAATCTTCAAAAATGTATGATTTATTCATAATCTATATCTTATAAGATTTTGAGTCATCCAATTTGATGATTTACTAGCAAAAATTATACTTTATTTCTATCATTGAATGTAGATACTGAAACCTACTTCTTCTATTATTGTTCTCCAAAATTTTTTTCACCTAAATCAAAGCTTCTCGTTTTGTTGCATCATTAATCACATAATCATGAAAAAAATAATTTGCAATAGCATTAATGAATGAAGAGTTTTACTTTTTTGTACATAAAACCTCAAAAATCTCAAACTTTTTAGGTGATTTAGACTCAAACCAAAAAACAAACTGACAAATCACCTTACATAATCATCTTACATGTTACTTGCTTTTAAAGTCTATAAACCTTCACATTTATACATTTAAGAACATGACACTTTTCGGATGTGAAATAGTATTAACATCGAGCTTTATATTACTTTACTAAGTTACAAGACAATTTGACATAAAATCAAAGTAAATTAAACAACTATAATCACTTTTATTTTTTGTGACTTAATTCAAATGATGTCAAAAATTAATTGCACTCAAAAAGGAAGATTTATCAAATTGTTATAATATGATAGCTTTAGGTAAAAAATCATATGATTTATTTGATTGGCTCTAAATAATTTGTGATTCAATTCAAACGGTGTCAACAAATTGATTGCATTGAAAGAATAAAGATTTATCACATTGTTACAATATTGATAGCTTAAGGTCAAAATTCATATGATAAACTTGATTGACTAAACTAACTGACCATCTTCTCCACTATTGTTTCGTTGAAACTCTTAGATGTTTCAGATAAAAGATATTTGTTGTAAAATATAAACATTTGTGAGATAATAAATATTTTATTCCTCTTCAGTAACTTCAAAATTTCTCATAAGTATATTTTGTTGTCATTATTCATTTGTAAATACCTCATATTCTCTTTCATTTGAATTTCAACTTGGATTTCTACAAAATAAAAGTTATCTAAAAAATTATACATGTATGTAAAAATTAATCATACAAACCTTTGGTAATCATCAATAAAACATATGTACTACAATATCTCAAAAAGTGAGGTTTTTATGAAGTATTCACAAACATCACTATGTATTTATTCAAGATTTTTTTTTTAACTATGAAATCTAACATCAAAAATTTGTACTATGATGCTTGTCCATGACGCAATGTTCACAAAACTTTAAGTGAATTTTTACTATGAGAATTAACAAGCTACTACCATCATGTAATGTCATGTATCTATTACTCATGTGTTATAGCTTAAAATGTCATCTCAACTCAAGATTTCATAAAGTTCTCTTCATCACATGTAACAAAATCTATATTTTATAAAAATCTATACTCGTAGAATTTTGTGCTTGTGACTCCTCAACATCAATATCATGTATTTTCAATTCAAACACTTCATTCTTATGACTCCATTTAAGACATTTTAAATTTGACAGTCCAGAAGATATATAATTATTTCTTGTATAAGATACAAATATAACTTCAATCAATATACGTTTGACTCCATCAAACATTTAAATATTAACAGATATCAAACATCTGAATCAATTAATATTGAAAATTCATTTAAAAATCATATAACGTATCAAATATGATAAAAACAAGCCATATAATATCCATAAATCATCAATATTACTTTCAAAGATTATAGAGTGTAAATCTCTAGCATCATGAATCATCTTCAAGCAAGTTATAGTACTTGATATTTCAACATCATTTTATGCTGTAAATCATAGATCAACAAGACACTACCAAGAGATTGTCTTATACTCAAAACTAGTGGAAAGTAAGTAGTTAGCTCAATAGATGTGAGATCATTTTTTCATTGTTTATATTTGTTCCAAAATTTAAAAATTAATAACAAGAATATCAAATTTATCAATGTGATCTTGACTCTTTGTGTCTAATCATTTCATCTTGAAATTTATTAGTATCAAGAAAGCATATAATTTGTTGGATAATTTATTGCAATGAAACCATCAATCAATGATATCAAACAATATAATAAAATTGTCATACTCATCTAACTTTTTGTGATTGCACATGAATCAAAGGTTGCACATGTAGTATGATTATGCTCACAATCTGATTTTGAAGATACTTTCAATCATGAGTATTTTATGTTGAAGGTTTTTGCCTTAATGTTATTTTTGGATTCATAAACTTCAACTTGTTCTTCACTTAACTTTTCATAACAAATAGTCATCACGTACATCATACTCAGCTATTTTGTATCATATTTTGCTCAATTTAATGGTCACCATCTCATTCTGCCAAATAGTTGAAGTTGTAGGTTATGACGTTAACATGTACTTTTTCAAATATATCATTTGCAAGATTTCTACATTGCTTTTGGAATTAATGTGAGCAAATTCTAGAGATAAAAATTACATTTCAGCATGTGTCAAACAAATTATTTTTTGATATGGACCTAAGACTCTTAAATAACTATCAAGAATCAAGATTTTAGCTTCTAAGCGGGTGGCTATAATATTTTACCTTAGCACGGCGTTAGAGTTAGAAATCTTAACGACAATCCTTGAAATTTTTTTGCCGCGAGCCACTAGATTTTTTTAGTTCCCAATAGTTTGGATTAAAAAATTTTCTGACCTCTAGATTTTGGCTCTTGGTTAAAATGTTTTCTGCGACATTACGCCTTGTATTATCTCAACTTGTCCTTTGTAATCACGTTAACTTCTTTGATTTTGCTCTTAAGTATGCAAAATCTTGTACATCGTCATTCTCAAATTTCCAAATGAGTTGTTGTCTTAAGAAGAAGATCTCATGAGCATTAACTCACACATCGAAAGCACATCATACCTCACTTTCTAATTGAGATGAAATGAATAGTCATTTTTTATCAAAATCTTTCAACTCCAAACTTAACCTTGGATGTATCATACATGAAATTCATTCTTCCTTGCGAGCCAAAAAATTCAAGATATAAATCCAAAATTTCAACAAATAAATTAAAAATTCCATTCATTATTTTAATATATTTTTTGTAAGTCCGTGAACTCCGTACGTGGATCAAATTATGAAGCTCATATTTTAATTTATAAAAAAAGCATCAATGACTGAGGTCACAATTTTTTGAGATCAAAAGAAATTATTGTCTCTAATAATTACCTAACTTAGTAAGGTAAATATCAAAAGTTTATTGCATAAGTGAATCACCAGGGACAAAAATAAATGATGCGCTTGAA